TACTTTTTGTGTTAAGTCATTATAGGAGTATTAAATAAAATGTATTCCAACATAAATGTGTCCCTCAACTTTTTTCTAGTGAGATAATTGTGTTTTCTGTACCACCAGTTGTTGTCTTTCAGTTGTCCTGTACTTTGTCAACCTTTTGATTCTTCTGTTAGTCCTTATTTTCTCTAACACTGATAATCCACAAGACATTATTAAGTCAAGAGGGATTAGATCCATTTATTAAAGAAATTTATTAATTTAGTTTCGTGTAAACTAAATTTTATTGAATCTGTTGTATTTTAATCCTAATTTCTGTTCTAAACAACCAGCTCTTCTCTATGAGTCTTATTACTAAATCATATTTAAAACTTATTAACTATTAGTTTTGATACTTTTTAGTGGAAACTAAGACATCACGTTCAGAAATAATTTGGCTCTATCACCAGCAATGTTTTTATTCCCTTGTCTGTACGTATAAAGTATTTTCTATGTCATGTTCAAAGTATCACATGATAAAGCAGTTCTGGGAATTGTCTATCTTTATGGACAATGGGAAGGTTTCTGTTCATATCTAAATCTATATATCTCTTTTACTACTTATTAGCACTGTTGTAGATGAGCCTCTCTTGCTTTCCTTCCCCAATACTCATTTGAGCAAGATTGTTTCTGTTATCTTTTTTGTAGTATGTATGCTAGGAATGCAGTATTGCTGCCCATCAACTTCTCTTTTATTTTTTCTCTCCCGTGTAAACAATTATTTTCAAAGTGATTTTTACTCACACTCCCTATTCCACCTGGCTTGTCTTGTCAGTAACGTGTTTCATATCTTGTACCGTGGTACTGGTTCCTCTCTTTTAATGTATAAGATCTTTACATTAGTGTACAAGCATTCCAGGTATTATCGGTTGAGCTCATCCAGTTTCTTAACTGTTTGGGTAGAATTCTGTCACCAAAGGTGCTGTTTGCCACACTGCTGTTCTGATGCATCAGAATATTTTATCCTGATTACGCACCTTTCCTGGGGCTAATAGTCCTTTATGTCTTACCATGCCTTTTTAAAATCTGTTTCATTTTTCCCTGTGAATTGAAAGGGGGCAGTTACCTGTATGGTTTTTTTTTTTTAGTGTGTTTTATATAAGTAGTTTTTATTCTTCATATGCTGTGGATATAATTTTTTTATTATTTTTTATTTAGCAAGCAGCAATAGATATAATAGGGTTAAAACAATCTTATTCTTAAACCGTAACAGCTAGACAGTAACAAATAAAATTACTTCTTTGTTGTATACATATTTTATGATATAACCCACTTGCCTGAGGACAGCAGGAACAATTTTGTCTGTTATCATCTAAGGGTTTTCTGTTTAATCCTTCTTCTGTTTAACAACATTAAAACCCTTAAGAACAAAAGATAGTCAAGAAAAAGAAATTAAAGTTCATATTACTCTTGTAGGCAAATCCGATATGCAGGGTTTGGTGTTTACTGCTTACCTTGTTAATTTGAAAGAATGAATAAAGAAATTACTATATTAATTGTACTGTAAATTAGGTTAATTATTCTGGTTTATTTATGAAAACATGTTTTCTTAAATGAAAAATTACTCTGCTTTCATGCCTGAGTAACTAGCCTCAGATCGTATGTTCATTTATCATTTGTGAAGCATGGCTAAAATTGAACAGAAAAGAGAAAACAGGAAGAGAAACAAGATATTTGCACCTTTTTAGTACTTTCTAAGTTACCCCTTAAAGCAGTTGATATTTCATAAGGTAAGATGCAGGTCATAAGTTCCTAACTTTAGTTATTAGATTATGTAAAAAGCAGAAAAGTAACCCAGGAAGTCTATGTGCTCAGTCAGGAGCCTACAGTAAGCTAGCTAATAGGAAGGCATAGGGGAACGTAGTCATCTTCCTCAGAACGACATGTTTGTACATCTTTATCCTCCAGTAATTCAGATCCTGGTCATATCCTTAGGATAGATGCCAGGCTGAGCAGGTCTTGATCTTTTTAAATAAAGGCCGAAGGAAGAATAGTCTAACTTTTATATAATTCGGGTTCTAAACCTTGCTTGTTTATGCGTTTTACGTTACACTGTCATATGTCAAAACAGAAGTGCAGGAACTAAAAATTGAGGTCTGCCTACTCAGAGATGAACGCCCTAACCAGTAGGATACAGATATTAAATGTAGTAATCTAAAATTAAATTGAAGGGTATAGCTGTATTTTTGCCAGCTGTGAGGTAAAGGGTCAGTTTATCAAGTGTTCACTTCTGCCTGTGAAGCGTTTAAAGAGTAGTATACAAAATATCAATCTTTAATATGTTAATAAGATGAAAAATAAGCATTTAGTTAAGAAGGAAAATAGCAAAATGTAGTATTTGGAAGAACACAGTGGTGATTAAAGCACTTGATAAGTAAGTACTACTTTTCCTGGAAAAATTGTGCGCAGTAAGTATTTAGTTGTGTAGGAGGAGGCACTCTTGACATACCGCTTGAAATTTGAGTGCTCTGATACATGAAGAGGGTTGTTCTGGTTGCTGTTCCACTTTTTTGAGGTACTAGAATTTCTGAGAATGAATCAAATGTTGTGGGAACAGTCCTTTTTATTGGATGTGAAAAGGAAATGGGAACAGACAGGGCTTAGGCAATAGGCTGTGGTTTTAATAACGTGAGGGGAAGTAGCATTCTTGTGTTCCCAAGTTTGTGTATGCCATTTAAGAAGGATGAGGTCCAGGATGAGGGGTTACTCACCATGAAACATTCGATTCCATGGAGGGCTCTTCTCAGCCTAGGCCTAAGTGTGAATTCACTGTTCTGAATCTTACTGCTCCTTCCTCCCTGAGGAAGGTAGGAAGAGTAATATACACATGGTGATGTCAGTGCAATAAAGTGTGATTTTAAGAAAAGGGGAGATTTTTCTTTGAAATTGGATTGTAAAATATGAAGATCCTCTGCATGATTCTAGAAGTCATCACATGTCAGTCTTCTGTTAACATCTGGTAATAAACATAGCTAGGACAGCAGCAGGAGAGGGAGCTAGTGGTATTTTTCTGGAATGCTGTATTAGTAAACAAGTATTCTCATGATAAGTAGAAAACAGTAGAGTTTCAAAGTACTAAAACAAAGGAGCATTGAAGAGCTTTCCCCCTTTTAGAATAGTCGTGACATTGCTGAAATAGGGAATGCTTTAGTTGAATTGCTGAAGTGGAAAAGGGGAGAAAATGGGGTAATGCTGCATGCTACTGCCATCAAAGCCTGAGAAGAGAAAGTAGTGCAGGTCAAGTATTGCTATTATGTAGTAACTTACAGGTGAACAAGTTTGGCTGAGGAGCCCAGTTCAACAGTGTTGCCGTTTGAGTCAGCAGGACTGCACTCCATTAGCCTCCTAGGCTCGTGCTGCTGAAAGCCAGCCAGGTTTGGTGGTAGAGAATGGAACAATGCAACCAACTTTTTGTTGGTGGCAACAAAGTGAAGCAAACTGGAAGTCAGCAAGGGGAATGAAGTGGAGTGAAGTTCAGCTAGCATTGTAGAAGACAGGAACAAAAATAAAAATGATAAAAACTGCATGATTCTGAGAGTTACAATGTCCAGGACAGCCTAAGCTCCCTTATTTTGTCTACAAAAATGTATATTTCCCTGTTGGGAGAGGTAAAAGTTTTGCCGGTGAAATTCTAGACTGGTTCGCCTCTGGCACGTGGCCCTTTACCCTAAAACTTCATTGGTTACTAGCCTTAGATAGTAATAAATTAGACCTTCCTATTGATGTTAGTTTTGAAGTCCGGCTTGAGCTCAAGCTGTGCCCTCTGCACAGCAAGCTGACAAGTTTGACACTGCAAGGAAAGTTTAATAGATCTTCAGGCTTCTGCCTGTTTGCTTACAAGAGTAAAATTATTTTATGGCCCTAAAGAGAGGAGTCAGATTGTCAGCACCCTAGAATGGTTCTCCTGTACTGTGGCTGTTTTTCCCTTCTTCTAGTTTAAGAAAGTAAGAAGCTTTGAAAGATCAGGGAGAAGGCTTAAAGTAGCAGCAGGGAAGAAGTGAAAAGGCCTTCAAGCTCAATTTTCCTTGTCTTCTTCCCGTCAGACATCTCTTTTTTTCTGCCTAGATATATATCTGTTCCTTCCACTTAAAGCAGCTGACCATTCTTCAGGTCATATTTTCCATGTGACGATATGGGGAGATTTGTGCTGTTCCTGATACTTGTTCTGCCATGATATTTAAACATTTCTTTGAACTCAGTTAACTCTGTTACACACCGACGTACGTTAGTATTTTATAACTTGGACTCATGTCAGAATTGTGCTACTTATTTTTTCATTTTGTGACGTTGCCCAGGAATAAAGCTCAGTCACGTTTTTCCTACTGATTTCCCCTTGTGTCTATGTGCTTAAAATGAGAAATAAACAGCTGATGGTTAAAAATCAAAAGCTTTTGCTGTACACCTGCAAGGACTCAGGCGATTTGGAATCCATCACTGTTGTCTTGTGTGTATTTATACTGTATATCAAATACGTTCCTGAAAGTCTTCACCATTTTTATAGGTAGAATTCTTTTATAATTAACTGAGATGTAGGAAGTAGAGGTTAGCGTGAAAAGTTATCCAGAGGCCCGTCTTTGAAAATTTCAAAAAAGACATAAGCCTTGTCATTTGTTTTTCTCAACTCTATAGTTTGTTGAAAGTATCTAGCTATGTATTAGTCTTTGGATATATAACAGCTTTGGAAGTTATACTTGCTTCCGTTTGCATGTATTTCCTCAACAATGTTGAGTCTTGTGTATAATTACTTTTTATTAGACTGAATAAAATGTAATTGAATGTTTGCTCTTTTACACGCTCTATGTTCCCTTTGAATGTTCCCAAGATTTGCACTAGTTTTATTTTATATAAAGAAAATATTGGCAGAATTTGCTATCTGACTGTAAGATAACATTCGTTTTTAATAAAGAAACATAGCTTTTGAAGCATATATTTCTGATGGTTCAAAAAATGTACCCTCTCCTTTTTTCTCTTCTCAGATCTATCCAAGAATAGATTAACTGAGGTTCCTATGGAGTTGTGCCATTTTGTGTCACTGGAAACACTAAATCTATACCACAATTGTATTAAAATTATACCAGATGCAATAGTGAACTTACAAATGCTAACTTACTTAAATTTGAGGTAAGTTTTAGTTTACCATATTTTCCGTTTATTTGCAAATGTGTAATGTCTGTTCTTCATGTATTTCTGGAACAATTGACATTTCTTTTGTTTTATTTCAAGGAATAAGGCAGAAATTCATTGCCTGTAGGCAGACTTCTGTGCAAAGGCATTGTAAAGACCAAAATGCAAAACTAATGATTTAAGGAAAGATCAAGGAACAGTAATCCCTTTCTCTCCCCTACTATTACAGCAAATTCTGAATGCTAATTATTATCAGCACAGATTCTTTTAATTACCTTCTATTTTTTTTTTTTTTTTTAACCTTAGCATATGCTTTTTGTAGCCAGAAAGATGGAGGGACAGAGGCAGAGGGTCAGTCTTTTTCTTGGTAAATGGAAAGGAAAAGTGTGCTACTTTATTGCTAGTATCATGTCATTATTGAAGAAACATAGTTACTACTTTTTTAGAGGGGAGGAGCAACGATTTAGTTTCTTTTCCAGGAAAAGAGAGTGTAGATGCTAATCAGTATAGAGAATTGTTGTTGGTTGAAATGCAGGCGAGTGCATATTTGCATTTGAAAGAAAGAATATCAGCACTTTTTCAGGTCTGAGGAGACAGAGGTTTATTTGCAGCTGAGAGTGGGAAAATGTGCTGTTGAAGATATAATAATCTGATCTTTGCAAAAATATGACACTTGGGGCGCAAAGTCGTGCTGGTGCTTTTAAATCTAAAATACGAAGTCTTGTAAATGCTGAGCATGTTTCTCAAGCCTTCCTTATGTTGTTACCGTACTGTAACGTTGGCCACTGTGAAGCTCCAATTTTGGCTCTAAAAGCTGGAATGAAGAGTAGTGTGTCTCGAGTATTTTCACACATGTTAGGAATACGACTCTTAATTTATGAAATAGCATCATGATTAGATATACATAAAGAAATTGATATTGAATTAAATATATTGTTTGCATAAAACCTTTTAGTATTAGAAATTAGTATGAAATAACTGTGGTAAAGGAATTTGTGTGAGTCATATCACAAACCCAGAATAGTTACAAACAGACCGTGTATCACAGTAAATTAGACAATCAAAACAAAAGGATATTTTTCAGGCTTTACTAAGTAAGGTCATTTCCCTCAGTTTAAAATCTTCTGAAATAATTTCCTCTTCACGTGGATGTGCCCTTCCCCCATGTTAATTGAACAAAGTAAGCAGTCTTTAGAAGAGGGAAAAATATCCTAGACTTTCTCACCGTATTGCTTCTTGGCGAGAAGAACATTATGACTGAGCGCTACATATTTTTCTCTCTGGTACCAGCAGAGCCTGGAGATTAGGCAGATTAGTGGTACCTAGAGACAAAGTCTCTGGACATCGGTGGACAACGTTCTTTCTTTAAATAAAGAAACTTCTTTTAAGCAGACATGATAATTTATTACTCCCTTGCCTTGGGATGTGCTATTCCTTATTTTTTTAGTGGATTGTTCCTGAGTTCTGCTGAACTTAAAATGAATCCTTTACTTTATGATCTTTTTTTTTATGTGTGGTAAAATAAGCATTTGTTAATAAAATTGCTTTTAGCCAAGGTATTTGAACTCTTACAGATAAAACATACTGGGACAATGCATGCACGTGTTATTTTCTTGCGTTAAAAGTTTCACGGATCTTACGCTGCTGTGCTTGTTGTGTTTTGTTCACCAGGAGAATAAAAAATTGGAATCCGTTTGGCAGGTCATTGGCTACGGGGATCTAGGGAACTCAAAACTTCTAGGTATAGGAAGCATTTGATCAGTAAAATGAATAATCTCGTTCCTTGTACTGCCGTCTTGGATGAGACGAGACTTTCTGTTAGATGAACTAGCTCCGCTTTCATGAAGTAATGATGATGGTTTCTTTTTTTCAATTCGTAGCTTTAAGAGCAGCTGGAGAATTTGAACTCTGTGGTTTCTTCTGTCTGACTGTCTTGTACATTACATGATACAAGGGTGTTACTCTTCTCACTGATTTGTAATTTAAGGATGACAATTTTAGGACAAATCCACTGAGGCTTTTGCAGTGATTTACTGTATAATTTTGAATAAGATTGCACAGGACTGATAACACTTTTCGTTGTAACAAGCACTCTTGGGTTTTGAGCTTTGTGTTTTTGTTTTGGCCCTTAGATGGTGATGTTACAGGACCTGAACCATTAACGTTTCCTTCCAAGTGCCCCCCTTTTTTTTTAATTATTATATTTAGGCTGTTGTTGAAAATAAGATCCAAATCTTCTGCTCTGCTGTAGAGAGGGAATAAGAATATCCTGTGACAAAATTGAGCATAGTTACCTACAAAGGAAAAAACTTTTTCTTTATTTTAAAATGATTAAAAAGTAAAGGAAAAGAATTGTTACATTATTGTTATGATGACGTGATCTAAACTGATAAAGGTAAATACTTTTGTATAGAGACAGATGTTGGAAAATATCAGTCTAGATATGATTTTGGAGGTACATAAAATGAATAACATGTCACCAGTAACAAGAAAGCAGTAGTATCTTCCAGCACTGAAGATACTGTGACAGCCTCTTTTCAGAATAAAAAACAAAGAATCAAAATAAGGGGGAAGGCAGTTGCCTGAAAGAGTAATTTCTTTTACTCAAGCAGCTATGGGGAGTGATACTTAAATTAACTTGTGTTTTTATATGCGTTTTGATCCTTGCTTTAAGCAGTTGTGGGCTTTGCTGTATAAGTTCCTTCCAACTTGCAATAAGTTAGCGGAGGTGCAGAACTGGGCTGTGTCTGCGCTTACAGGGTCTGTCATTTTTTTCCTGTTCACGGAGTCGGAGGTATGAGGAGAAGCATATGTAGTGTCGAGATTTATACACTACGTGTAGAAGTTGTGAGCGCAAGAGGAGAAACGCTGTTAATGTGGATCAGCCCGGTGTAACACCATGAGATTTTGCAAAAGTTGGTCCTTTTTTTTTCTACATGTTTTGGAAGGTAAACGTCAAAGTTTTTAGGTTCCGTTAAATATTGTTACTAGCTTTTTACTCTCTGCTTAAATAAAGTCCCAGAGAAGCCTTAGATGAAGGGTAAATCCTTCAAGGGCTTTGAAATTGGATGTTCATACCTCCTACTAAATTAGAAGTGTTTGTCATGAGAATGAATTAGCTGAGAAATTTTTAATAGCTTGAGTGTTCAGGAGACAAAGCAGATTAAGAAAGTCTGATGTTTCTCTCTGGTCAGTCGAAGGATCTGCTAACTTGGAATCTTACCTTGTCCAAATTAACGTTAACATGTTCTTGGGGTGTGTTTAGATGGCACTCTTCAGCAAATCCTTCTAGCATCCCAGACTAGTGGACCTTTGTTTTTTTGTTTTGGCAGCCCTAACAATTGCTTGCATGTTAAGGTGGAACTTCTGAAGGTGTTCTCTTTCCCCTCTCCAATAGTTTCTCCAAATTCCTTTAACACAAATTTATATATAGTCTGAAAGAAAACAAGATAGCCGTGCGCTTGTTTCTCTTTTCCTTTTGTACTTAATATTTTTTCCCCTCTTGGAGAAATTTCAAAATGTTTACATAAGCTGATTCTGTGTTTATTTAGGTGTTCCTGAAAAAATGGCCTGAAAGCTTATTCATGATACATCTGGATTTGTGGCCAAAAAAGCATAACAGCAGAGTATAGTTCACGCAGGCTGAGAGGGAGAGACAGAGACACCCCTCTCCCCCCCCAAAAGGGCTGGACAGAGCTGTCACTGGTGTCCAGGCAGGCTTCTGACTGAGCAGGTTTAGAGATGATCCTTTTTTTGGGGGTCTGTTTTAAACTGGCAAATGTTTGAAATCATAGTTAATACCTCCTTATATAGATGAGGTCCTACGTTCTCCCAGCTGAAGAACGCTGTTCCTCAGAGTGCTCTAGTCTCTTCCAAGCAATGCTGATGAAAAGTAAAATAAGGGATAAGGCTCTGTAGAAGGCTTGTCTTGTCTTGTCGACTTCTATTGACTTCTTTTCAATCTGAAAGATTGTCCTGTGAGGTTAGGAGAAACTGTTTTTTATTAGAGTAGCCTTGCTGCAACTTAAAATTAATTTTTTCCAGATAGAGGAGAAGTGAATGAACGATAAGGAAAATATTTTTCAAAAATGTGAATTGCAGCATGCGCCACAGGACTGGCAGATAGGTGTTTTTGTCTGCGTTTTTAACACTTCTGTGAACTTTCTGTGAGATATTGAGGACTTGATTATTTCCCATCTGCAAAATGAAAAATAAATTTGTCCCTATAGCACTGAAAGGTTTAAGATACGTTAGGTACTTAGAATACAAGGAAATGTAATGGCAATTTATATAAATAGATTCTAACCTAAATTGATTGCCTGCCTTCCTTCTGATACTCATGAAAGGGATAATATTATGGCTTATGCTCCTTGCCCAGCTCACAGGAAACAAACCGTGAGCAAAAAGAATACGCATTTTTTTTCTCCAGACTTTGATTCCATGGTAAGAAAAATATTCATTGCTAAGTTTCAGTTGCCTGAAAAAAAAAAATAGTGGTATATATCAAATAATCTTCAACTGTAACTGTGCTTTAAGGGAATTGTCAAAATAACCTTTTTTTCTATAATCAATTTATTTGTTGTTAAATTAGAGCAAAAATGTCATCCTCTGTACTGCAGTAAAAGCATAGGAATTTGTAAATACTTGAAGAACACTGTCTTAAATGACTTTCCTGTATTCATTGTGAAGGGAAACAGCTGTTCTAGGTGACAATCAGATTTTATTACAATGCTCTTAAAGTGATACCATTCATTTTTTCTGGAGTGGTAATATTCTACAATACTGTTTTAGTCAGTAATACAGATATTCTGATGTGCAAGTATTTGCTTGGTGACTTTTTTTAATTCCAAAATTTACATTTTAGATATCAAAATGAGAGGGATTTTAGAAAATATTTTATTCTCAGACTTTAGGGGAGCGTATAGTCGAATGTCGTCTTGTGTTCTTAATGCTTGCTTTTGTTTTTTCTTTTTGTTGCAGTCGAAACCAGCTTTCTTCTTTGCCAGCTTGCCTATGTGGTCTTCCTCTAAAAGTCTTAATTGCAAGTAACAATAAGCTAGGTTCCCTTCCGGAAGAGATAGGTCAGCTGAAACAGTTAATGGAACTGGTATGTTACTGATTTTGCTGTTTTCTTTTTGTTTGTGTTTAACTCGAAACAGTATAAATCGCTTTGCAATGTTCTTTGAACTAACGCCTAGTACTATAACACAGGTTAAAAAAAATTAACTTGTGAATTTTTTTCCATGACATAGTAACACACTAGTAGTCACCTTATGCTCTCCAGGACCCTTCTGAGCAACACCACAGCCCTTGGTTCATTCAAAGCATAGCTGCTAATTTCATCGTCTTTACCAGCTGTCCTCATAGCATTTACTGGCTCCCTGTTTTGCTGCCTCACGTTCCTAGTTCTGGCATCAGTCTCTTCAAAGCTGCATCCCTCTCTTTAACCTCCTCCCCTTCTACTTTCTTTCTCTTGTTTATTGCTGCCTGCTTACCACACTGCGTTCCACTAATGTTACTGGTCTTATTGGTCTGTTTGCATTTTACTTAGCTATTTTTTTCATGCAGCCTTCCTTTCCTGAAATGTCTGTCTAACCAAGATTTATAAAACTACTATTCCTCTTGTTTTCAAAATTGTATGCAAGAACTGTTGTTCCTGCAAGCAATAGATCATCTAAAAGGCTAATTAATTTCTGCCTTTTTAGTCTCATTAATCAGTACCTTAACTTCCATATTCATTTAATTGCGGGCTTATTTGTTTGTTTTTTTTAAGGTTGTATGTTGACACTGTATGTGTATGTTTGTCTTTCTCTTCCCTTATCTTCCTATTTCATGTATCACAGGATTTCTGAGACTGTGAACCATCTGGGACATGTGTTATGTTTTGGTTATTTCTGTTCACCTTGACCTCTTAAGAAACAAATTGACAAACTCTGTGCTTTGACACTACTATTTTACGCTTAGTAAAACAACGATATGTGAACTTTTTTTTTTCCAACTGCTACTGTCTCCATTGACTGCATTTATCTTCTACATCATTTGGACGTTTGAAAGTGCCAGCTTATCATATTGTCATTCTTATAATGATAGTTTCTGTATTAAATGCTGTTAGAAAAGGTGAGCTGGCCTTGCTTTAGTCCTTGTCCTGCTGTTGTTCCTTCATATGTGGATCAAAGTGGCAACTGTGGGGCTTTTTTTCTTAAGTTCTTTTTGTACAGCACCTTGTGGTATCAGGCTTCTGTCACAACTGATCTGGCTGTGGGTGGACAGTTATCTTTCTCTCTCTGGGATATACATGAGCTAAAGACTAACGAGATTTTTTTTTTTGTGAGCTCTATTCATTTACCTTATCAAAGAATTTTAAATATTTTTAAGATGAGTTTAATTAGATTACTGATATTGTTTTGATTTAATTAACCTTAAAAGAAACATGTTAGCTGTAGCATTGTTTCTATATTGCTTAAAATAAATTCATTAAAAGATTATGGCTCCATTTTTGCACATAATTAAATTTGATTACTATCAAACACCTCCTAAGTCAGAGAACAGGATGACTGGCTAGGTTGTTGACTAAGTTTGAAGCCTGTCGTATCTTGGTCACTTCTAGGTTACATGTAGCCTAGCCTAGTGGTGAGGGGATGCAATTGCTATTTTGGGGGCATATGTGAAATAAATTTGAGGACTTGGCCTGATTCCTTCTGTTCAAAGTTGTGCATCTTATCTGATATTAACGGAGGTCTGTAATAATATTTTCCGTAAAGAATTGCAGAAGTGCATATCACTTCAAATTTCCCCTCCTGTTTCAAGTTTATACCCTCCCAGTAAATGAACAATCATTGATGCTGGAAGTGTTTCATTTGTTAATAAGAGTTTACATATCACTTAATAATAGCCCTTATCCTTATTTTAGAATTTTAAAAAGTTAAAAGCCAAGAGCCTCAAAAGCAACGCAGATTACATCCAAAGGAGATAGGTTTTTGGATTTTTTTTTTTTTTTTACAAATTATATGTTTAACTTAACTTTTGTAATCCTGGCTTTATGAAAATTGAAAAATGTTGCTTCCCAGTTAAAGTGTAATTTTAACATTACTCTCTTTGAAATGAACACAATTCCTGCTCTAAAAATATTTCAAATGAGGTGCTATAGCAACATATCACTTTGAGATCCTAGGAGAACTGTTAAAGCTCAAAAAGCTTTGATGCTATTTCTTTATGATTTAAAAAAAATTGTGAAGAAAATATTTTTACATTGGATATGCTTCAGTCCAAATGGCCCAATTTCTTAGGCTGATGCCACCATAAGTGTTTGTTACAATTCCAGTTAAATAAATAGCATTATTTAGCTGGAAATGACTAAACTGTGATGCATGGGCAGAAGCAAATAGCTGTAAGATTTAGAGCTGCTATCTGTAGTGCTCTGAATAGAGAGCAGTGTTAGATAATAAGGTGACTATTGTTCTGAAACTATACGAAAAGAAAAAACAAGAAAAGCAACAAGTATTAAGTCACGCTGCAGTTGTTGCAGCGCAGCACGTTCAGCTGTGTATGAGGAATGCCAGCCTGAACGGCTGTCCAAGTGACACCCCCAGCCAGCGCTCTGGCAGGGCATGCCGTTGTCTGGGGACCTGCGCAGTGCTGGTGCTAGCTGAGGCTGTCCGTCCTGAGAGACAGTGGGTGCCATCTGGCCATGTTCAGTGCCAGTATGACTAGGGCTTTGCTAAGCACTCTCACGGTCTCCGAAGTGATTTACAGGTTTTCACAGGCTGCATGCAGTAAAGTGTATGTGTGTATACAGCAAACGGATTTTTTTTGTTATCCCACTTTGAAACAGATTTTTCCCTCTATAATCAGTCCAGGATGATATTATGCATAGTTTGCTGCAGGTTACGTCAGATCTTTCCAGCCAGCGCTGCATCCTTCCCTCTGCCCTCCAAAATGGGCTAGGCAGTTCCTTTTCTGTTCCATGTACAAATCAGATACATTTCATACTTGTGGCATGGACTGACATAGATATTAGAGGCAGTAAAATTTCTTGTATTCTGTTAAATTTCAGGATTAAGTTCTATGTTATATAGAGCTCTTATAGCCGTCTTACAAGCATCAAAATAACATCTTAATTTCCCTCAGGGTATGTTCAAATTAATTTCAAAATCTGATTGGGAAACTTATTTGCAGCTGCATAACCTGGTCATACCCTTCCTGTCAGCCAGGAGGAGGAGTGCAAAGTAGTGTGAAGATATTCTGAAACTTAGTTTCTATCAAAGAAAAGTAATTGGGCAGAGATGGGTCGTTAATTGCAGCCAAAACTCCCAAATGTACAGTATAATTCTGTTGTCCTTCCTATTAGGCAGTAGTATCCTTCTCTCGTCTCTGGGGAAGGGCCTTCTCCATCTCTGGAGCACTCATTTCTTCTTTTGTGTTGGAAGCCTTTATCTATGAGATGGGATTTAGGTCCTTCACCTCATTCATCTAATCTGGACCAGAGCCTTACCAAGTGGAACCTGCTGCTATCTGTTTTCAAAAAGGATCCGTGCACTCGTGCCCTGTGTAACTTATCTACCCTTCAAGCATGGCTTTGTTTGTCATGAGCTCCAGCAGAAACCACCTGCTCGGTAACAGTTCAGTCAGGAGTCCAAGCCTTGAAAGGGATGTAAGGGGGGCATTTACCTCCATTGGGAAGGTTTAGATTAACTTACTTAGTGTAAAGAATAACTAAGCCTTACATCTCTCTGGTCTTGAGGAAACCTGTCTGTATTGTCAAGGCTGGAAACAAGCAGTGAGAACATAATTGAATGAAAGCAATGAGTCTGTCCTTCAGCAGATGCTAGCCCCTAGAAATTGAATAGGTGTTTGGACTACATTTCAATTGTCCTCAGATGTCCGTGACCTGAAGTTCCAAACTGCCCCTTTTCTTACTCCTTTAACCAAAGCAATATTTTGAAAACCATGAACGTTTGATTTTGACAGTATTGCTTTCATTATTACTGAAGTAATTGGAAAGCTTAAGCTAAACATCATCTCCATCTTATATGAACTCATGAAATCTAATGGTAGTAAAGAGCAAAAATATAACTAGAAATAAGCTTGTAGCACTTTGTTTTCCACAGCTTTTCAATCAAAGCAATAGAAAATGAAAACAAATGTTGACTGCAGTGTTTAGCAGGATAAAGGATACTGTGGTCTCTAGAGATCTTGTGAATACTGACATGCTGTCATGATAGATCAGTCTTTTTATGGGCGTTTTGAAAGGTCATAAGTCGACGCTGCATCTGAGGCTTCGCAGGGCCGTAAATTACTTCTCATGCTTTCTTTCAAATTCAAGTATAGTTGATCTAGAGTTTCTTTGCCACAAGGTGACTTTAAATTTATGTCTGTGCTCTAAAAAGTGAGTGCTTAGTTATGAGCTTGCTTGAAGTCTGTAGATTAAAAATAGGACAGTAAAGTTCTTAAAATAGATGATCTGGGAACAATGCAATTAACCAGACTTTTGTCGTAACTTGGGCAAAAGATGCACTCATTAGACAAGGAAATTAAAAATCCTAGTTAAAAGCTAAAATAATTTCCTGACTGTTTTGACAAGGGAAGGAAGTTTTGGCAGCAGTGAGATACTATTATGGGAAGAAACTTTTGTCTGATGTAGCGAGTAGCATTGCCAAATCATGTTTTGTTTTTACTATTATTAAATGTTTTTAACTAGTTTTTAGACAGGAAGACCAGGAGTTAATGTAACACTGTTGATTAGTATTAAAGTAACAGTCTTCAAGGACATGACTTTGAAATCTGACTTACTTTTAGAAATCCTGTAGTTTAGGAGCTCCTAGTTACTGCATAAATCCATAATTTGAAACAAGAGAGTAGGAGTGAGCATCCTAAAAGTATTCCTTTGACTCTTCAGGAAAATTTGGCATTACCACTTAACTCTCACACTGTGAAGCACTGTTTCCTTTTTTTCTTTATGCAGAAATAGAAACATAATTGGGGCACTACTCTCATTTACCTTGGATGTAAGCGGAGGTTTCAAGGTCCTTTTGATGTCATAATGGCTATATATGAGTTCATTTACTGGTAAAAATGATTGCTAGTTTGTGAAAATTATCTTGTTTTAGACTGACTTAATCCAAGGAGGTTGATCTTTAGTCACATGCTTAGCATTTTAGGATTTTGTTTTATTTATCAATTTATTTATTTTATTTATTTATAGCATTAAAAATATGTTTACAGCAGTGTTAGCCTATGTATATTTGTCGCTTGAAGTTATATGCTCTGTTGCTTAACCCTACCTTATTTCATTACCTTTTCTCATACCTTATACTTCATCTCAACTTAACAGCAGTTACTGCTTTAGAAACTGAGATAAGCATAGGCTCCAACTTTATCCAGATTATTGAACCGGTTGAATTTCGCTGTCAAAATCAGACCTGCTTAGAACCTGTCCAGGCTGCTAAGGAGTACCTTTTACAACAGGATGTTGAACTTCTACATATTGTTAAGCAAGCCCTGTCCTATTTAATTATAGCCTACTACTTGATGTGATGATCAAATGTATGCCTCTCTTGAGCATCACTGCAGAAAGCTCCTGCTGTTTTATTTTGTTCTGTTTTTAAGTTTGCTTAAATAGTCCCTCTAAAAGCACAAGAACCTTTTTAAAAATGTAATTACTTGAAGACTTCAGAAAGTAGCTGTTCTATGTTTTGTCTAAATTCATTTGTTTATATATATAGTCATGGTTCTGAGTTCTTCATAGTTAATAACAACGAATGACAAAAAGGAAAGTTTTAAGCGGAAGGTTCTGATTGTTGCTATAGAAATTAATTTAATTTCTAACACTAGCTTTTTTCCTAAGCAAATATTCGTTCTGGGTTTTAAGTGATGTGCAAGCATTTTCTCATGCATTTAGTTTTGCCCTGTAAGGAGGGAACATAGATGGTTGTTTTCAGGAAATAAAATGTTACAGTAGTAACAACAAATTATCCAGAGCTTCACATGTGTATTATTTAACATTTAGGAGCCAAAAGTTCACTGTTTCTGTTATTTTTGCTGTAGGATGTCAGTTGTAATGAAATCACAGCTTTGCCACAGCAGATAGGCCAACTGAAATCTTTGAAAGAACTGAATATCAGAAGAAATTATCTTGAAGTTTTACCCCAAGGTAAAAACAAAACAAATGCTAATACTTTTGTAATAGCTTTTTAAGTTAGTTTTGTGAAAGTATTTTTTACACTTTTTATTCGTGTAAATAAACATGATTAAAAAAAAATTTCCTTGTGCTTGAATTTATTCTGTTTGAGATCACTATGTTTTTGCAGAATATAACATTATGTAGTACTTATTACTAAGCAAAAGTTTCTTTTTAATGAGTTATCATTATGATTAAAAGATAGATATCTTTTAAGTTATACGAATACTTAACTGTGACTATTGAGTAAAAGAAAAAGTCAGATTTCAAAGTTTATTTTAAAAATTATTGCCCTTGTATAACAGTAACAACCCTTTTGTTTCCCATCCTAGTATGGAATTAAATGTTGATCATGTTCCTGACTTAATTCATGGGTTTTATTTTGTTTGTTTGTTTGTTACGGTATATGCTTGTTCTCTCTCTGTGACTTTCTTTGCCTGTGCAATATTCCTTTTTTTCTTATTGCAGAAAAGTTTGATTCAGAAATATTTTAGTCATTTTATAGCAAAAATAAATACAGATACAACAGTTTTTTTTTTGTCATTCTTTTGTTTTGCTTTTAGAACTAGTACAGCTTCCCTTGGTAAAGTTCGACTTTTCCTGCAATAAAGTGCTTGTGATTCCAATTTGTTTTAGAAAGATGGTGCAGTTGCAAGTATTATTGCTTGAGAACAATCCTTTGCAGTCTCCACCAGCACAAGTACGTGGCATTTAAGTTGTGTTTTAATATGAAGTGGACAATAACAAATACTAGCCTATAAAATGTAATTTTGTCATAGTTTTCTGCAATTGCAGGCTTCTGAATTTTAATGACCATAGACATTAGTTGTGGAAGGGCAGTTTGTGGTATCTGCACAGTACAGACACTGTCCTGTATTTTGTGTATGAGTCTGCACACGACTTGAAACAGCGTTATTCTACAAGATTTGCATTCTCTTAACTACCTTTAATATGGCTTTTCTTTCATTCCTATCTGCATATGAAGTTTAATGTTGGACTGTGTGTATAATAGTGAAAAAAGAGAAACTTCCTGGATAAGTATTGTTTCTATTAGTAAGAAAAAGGCCAGTTCTGGGAGTTTATTGTGTGATTTACTGTTAGTTCAACAGTATTCAGGCAGACTAGAACATTTTCTATGTGAAATTTATTTTACTTTATATTGTAAATTTATAGGCTGTGATGCACAAAAATATCAAAGTCCTATTCTGAACGTAGGCCGTAAGAAAACTACGTAGGCCTTGCTGAGAGATGATAATAAATGAACATAACCTATACTTGCTGCTTTAAGACAACTTTCTTGTTTTTGACCCACTGGACAGTGGATGTTCAGACTACGTCTCTGAAAGCTAAAATGGCTCAACATTGACCGGTATGCCATTCATGTGCAGTAAGAACTGGCAAAATCTTTGGCATTTTTTATTATGTAGGATAAATGTTTTCCATTTACTACTAATGGTGATGCTGATACTAACTTCAGAGTACATAAAACAAGTTCCAGCAAGTATTTGAGCTAAAGAGTACGGTTAATGAAAAAATTCTAAAAGGCAAATGAAATGCAGCGTAAAAATGCTTGGACACTGTGACTAAGTATATAAAGGATATGCTGTTTAATTAAATGCCATTATAGACTAATTTTAGAAAAAAGAATATTCATTTTAAAGTTAAAAATAGACTAAAATATATTTTAGTAATCTTTGTCCTTTTTGAGTGAAAAGCTAATTTGGATCTGTTAAGTAGAATATGTTTTTTGCGATTTCTTGTTTTACGTGGATGGCTAGTTAAAGTAGTTTTTTTTTGTTGTTGTTAAGATAACATTTAATTTTCCATTAGATGATAACTATGCGACGATATCAGATGGTTTTCAGGCAATTTTACACTGTGAAATTCTGAATAAATTATTTCTTTCATTCTAGTTACAAACCTTTTTTCCTTGTCTAACAGATTTGTACAAAGGGTAAGGTGCATATATTCAAATATCTGAGTGTACAGGCCTGTCAGATTAAATCAGCAGACTCGCTATATCTTAATGCCATAGAACAACCACATTTGCCACAACCTGTGGAAGAGAGGTAGGTATAAAATTTTCACTTAGTTTTTCTCATGTAATAGTTATGGTCTTGGAACTAATTGAAATATTCTTTTTATCTTTAGCTTCCAGAGTTTTTGTTGTCGAGGTGCTTTATAAACTGTTCTGAACAGAGCTTAGATTTGCCTTAACATATTTTATTCTGGTGGAATCCGTATAAGAATGTAGAATAAAAATATTTTAAAAATCGGTTCTGATTAAAGTTAGCAGCACACTAGGAAAGAGCTTAGGGGGTAGCCTTGATTCAAGTCTAACCTCTTACCATAGACTGCTGGGATATATTCAAAATAATTGAGATGATATATCATGAGGATTCAAACTTTATTATAAATATATTAACATATTTAATAAGTTTTAATTTGTTGTATTATATGTGGTTTATATATTGTTATGCATTGCAGTTACATAGCTCTTGTAAGAGTCTTTATTCATCCAGAGGCTTTTCCATCCAGCAGAGTGAGTTGTGTGAACTCTGAAGTGTGCTAATTTAATGAAAGACAAAATTTTTAATGTCTTACGTCAGCCATCTAGGAAATGCCATTTCATTTGGTGTTTTAAGGATAAGAACTGGATAGGAGGGAGATCCTTTTTATAAGGATCTCCACAGCTAATTGGAAACTAGTTTTTAACCAGCTCTTTCTTTGCTAGCACGAGAAATTTAATACAACTGATTGGAAAAAGCATGGTAATAATGCCTTAATTTTGAATGGAAGTTTTCAATAGGAAGAAAGGATTGATGGAAATAAAAATACAGATGCTACTGCTAGCGCCCTGAAAAAAAAATCTGAAGAGAACTGTCAGGGAGTCTCTCTGTCAGTCATCTATATAATGTTACAAGCAGATAATTTTCCTTCATTTGTATTTGAAGACAGCTTTGTGCATTTCTATCAGATGCCAACATTAGGTGGGAAGAATCCAGGATAAAGAACAAATTTTCCATTTGGGAAACACCTGCTGGTATTTTGTGTGCCTGTGTTTGTTTTGTGTGGGTTTATTTTTTTGGTTTTCCTTTTTCTTTTTTCTTTTTTGTTTTTTTTTAGTATAAAGTAAAATTGAATTTCTACTTTTGGAGAAAAATGAAATTAAGCCTGAGCTGTAGGATTTTGGCCATTGTATCTGATACGATAGTGGTGTACATATTGTTTATTGCACTGTCAAACTTGGAAGTGTTATCTTTCTTACTAATGCTTTTTCCGTAGGACGTACAGGAACATCTCTTCTGTTCCCTGATTGTAAGGGGCTAGTACAGAGTCAGTGCCAGTTGGTGACTGACAGCCCAATGTCCTATCCCATAACAATTGACAAGGCTATAATAGATGCTTGAGGATGTGTTGGTAACTACTTTCTACATCAGCCTTTCTACATCCGTTTCATAATTCAGTGTACTCGTTTAATGCATATATTTGAATAAGTATTTTTTGTGTGTACTATTTCCAATAGCAAAAATGTGGAAAATATCATAATTTGTTTTTGAGATTAATTTCATATCTCCAAAGAAGAAAATATAAGCTGGTTAGGATTTCTACAGGCAGTTTCTATACAAAATCCTTAGTGTTTACTGATAATGGGCAATGTAAGATTAGACTTAATTAGATACCTAGTTCATACAAAGACTGTTAGAGTAAAGTTCTTTTTTACATTTCTGCGTCAATCTAAATTCAGGATTACAGTTTTCAGGATTGCAAATGGGGGGAAAATGAACATTACACCATCTACCTTATTCCTTTCTTTTTTAATGTGTCTAATGGTGTACTTCAAAATGAGTAGAGATCGTACCAGGTAAAGAAAGCAGGAGAGAAGGCCGTTGCCATTATTACAGCGATTTTGTTAAAATACTAAATTTCAGAGACTATTTTAAGTCACCTAAATGAGGTTTCTATGTTAATTACCTCAAACCCTAGGGAGAAATTGGATCATTTTTAATGCATCAGTGGTTACACGGAAATGAGTTGAATTCACACTGGAGTCAACTCGTTTAGTTGCTTATCATATGGCTAAATGACTTCAGTCAGAGTCCTGTACTGCTTGCCCAACAATGAAGCATTTTTACCTGGCGTATGGACAACAGCAAGCCTTAGGGCAGATTATTCTCTAGTTTTCTTTAACCCTTAGGCTAACCAGCTTTTTAGAACCGAACTGTCATTTTATCTGATCTGTTTTATACTACCACCAAACCCCAGATGTGTAGTTGTAACCATACTAAAGCTATTGAACCTCTACCATTGAGACTGGTTGGAATTTTGCATTGATTCAAATGCAAACAGGAAAGAATTCTATCTGTGCATACCATGATAGCTTTCTGTTGATTTTTGTTCTCGTCTAGCATTGACGACATCTACCCAAGTAAGAAGGACTCTGATTCAGGTGTTGGTAGCGATAATGGTGATAAACGTTTGTCAGCAACAGAGGTAAGTTGCCTGAATTTTGTGTCTGCCTCCCCTCCGTCTATACTCATATTTTGATTATATTTTCAGTTGGGTAGCCGTGTGAATAAATTCTTAGCCATCTACACTGTGCAACTGCATCCTTGCCATTCATTTCTCCCTAAGTAATGACTGAAGCAAAGGTTAAAGGAGCCTGGAATTTTTTTTAATTTAGTCTTTGTGCTTTCTGGAGAGGGCACTGAAGTTGTCTGCAAATGGTCAATGTTCTACTAGTAGTGAAAACTCACTACAGTTTTCAGGCATTGTACATAAAAACCTAGAGAGCAAGGACCAAATCTGAATCCAAGTCTGTTCTTTCCAATGAAGTAAATGTCCTAACAGTTTACACATCTGGCTCCTTCTCGCTTGCTCTTACTTGGAGTGATAGCTCTTTCCTGATGGGAATTAACAGGAGGAGTTCAGTGTGCCCGATTCCAGCATGTTTTGTGGTATCACAGGTAGGGCAGTTTGCTGGAGAGTAAGAACTCCAGGAACTTCGCAGGTCTTGATGTGTTTACATGCTCTGACAATTAGGCAGTGCTGGAATCTGCATGCTGCAAAAATAATTATGAAGACAGCTGGAGTGACCCAATCCATTTTATAGCGTAAAAATAACAACTCTGTCACTGCCTGCTTGCTTCTCTACTATTAGTGGAAAAAATGGATGGTGAGATTGCTAATCCCGAGTGTGTTTGGTGAATGGCATCCGTTTTCCTTGCGCAGCAGCCTTTAATACAGGTGTATTGCAGATGAAAATTGTGCAAGAAATAATTAGCACATTGTAAAAACAAATTCACGTTATTAATTACAGTCAAAACTTTACATGCCAAATGTTAGATAAATATTGAATGATTGCTCATTTCTTTTATGTATTGTTAAAAATCTTTGTAAAGGGTTCTGTAAATACATCACACTTAGCAAAACAAACTACCCCTTAGTCTGAAGACTAATTGCTGTTGATTTTCAGATCTTTTACAGAATGCTGCAAGGATTTTGCATTTGTGTAACTTAAAAGGGGAAACTTTTAAGTGAAGCTTTTGTTTAGTTGAATACCAATGTATTTTTTAGGAAGCTTGCTAATTAGCTATGGGTACATTCAGATTGGAGGAAAAAGTTGATGAACAATTTACATGCATCTGTATCTTGTTGATAGCTTTACAGGGTCAATTCTTTAGAGCTATAGTAGTCTTGGGCATTTCAACTGCAAGACATACCTTGTGTTATTGCTATAAGATTGATTGCAGCAACTCCAAGAGAAATTCTCCGTTAAGATAGTGTGCTCTTGTATTTCTTATTCTTTAGGAATGAACAATAGCACTTAGATTTACTTTCCATTCTCTTTAGTCTTTTCTTCCTACATTAAAATTCATTAGAACTGCAGGGTATTTGTTAAGATCCAGCTGGTGTCCCTGCTCCTTTACACAGAAAGGTGATGCTTTAGTACAAGCAAGACTGTATATCAGGGATCTTTCAAAATGTGTCCATCTGAATTGAGAGCTGGAATAACGTTAGGTATTTAAATTACAAGTTGAGCCTCTTCATCCTCTGTATTTTTGAGACTTGTAAGGCAGTGTCATCTTCTGTTGATAGCTGAATAAAAATAAAACTGTGAATGAAGGAAGTGAGATACAATATTTCACCTATAAAGGAGCAGTGAGGACTTTTGTATAATTGCAGGTTGCTTTGGATAGTTTCTATTTGGTAGTATACTGGCAGGAAACACCTGGAAAAATCAATTGCAGCCTGCTGTGGGCTACAGACCCTAAAAGCCAGACAGAAAAAGCCTTTTTGCAAATGGTGGGCTAGTCTATGACTTTTTGACACCCACACTCCAAAGTTTTTTCCTAAAAACTGTATGTGTTACTCTGCTGAGCAAAAATTCTTGCCTAAACCGTTTAGTATTCAGAATGTGTAATAATGCATATAAAACATTTGACTATAATATTTTAAACAATAATTGTTAAATGAACAAAACATGAATCTTTGATCCAGAATTAACTGCGTTTAGTACCCAACGTCACAGGAGGTATACTCTGAAGGAATGAGAAGGGACTTCACTGTAACTTTAATATAATGGTCTGAATTAACTTATTTTGTGCATGTCTTTTCTTAGAAAACTGTTGGATTGTCAGTACTTTATAACTGAAAGTTGTACTTAGAATACTTGGAAAACACTTTTGTTTATTATCTGTTTGAAATACCCATATATTCTCATTATGGATTTATTTAAAAAATGGGCAAATAGAAACAGTATTGCAGTACTAGGTTACTTCACTGTAAAGCTTCATCACTTTGACAAAGCTTTATCAAGTCCCTGAGCACCCTTCAAAATTTTCTTTCAGTAGAACAATATAGTCAGTGAATTAATAATCTTTCCAGATTTTTTTTATTATAGAGTTAATAACATATAGTTTCTTCATAAAGAAAAGCATTTATAGTAGTCCACACTTACAGAATGTTTCAAATCTAAAGACAAACTAACCGTGGCAAATAAGAATAAGCATATATATCTTTGCAGTGTTTTCAAAAGCAAAGCAAACTTGTTCCATTCCATACCAAAACTTTAGCTTCAAGATTTAAAAGATATTTTCTGTTTAGAATATGAATGTATAAAAGTAATGAGAATAACTTAGTTGTATTAAAAGCTAATGACTGTGGAGCTGAATAGCTGGTTGCATATAACACACAATCTCCCATTCCGTTAACAAATCTTTTATTTTTATTGTTACAATGGGCTGGACTGACGAGCAGGAACTAATTGGGAAAATACTACTTCTTTAAAAATTATATCCTTGAAGGACATGGAACAAACTATCTGGTTTATAGCAATTATAATCACAGAAACATCTGAACAGGGTGCATGTATGGACTGTGTGTGTGCAGAGCAGTGAATTACAGAAACACAGGGAAGTATCTAAATAAGCAATGCCAGTGCATTTGTTGGGAAGCACATATGCAAACCCTGAGGGGACTGTTGCAGTGTAAAATTCTTTATTGCAGTAGAGCTAGAATAAAAATTTGGCTTCTTCTGCAACCTGTGCTTTTGCTGTAGCTCTCCTTAGAGGAGAATGACTAGTTCCCGGTGTGAGCAGGTCGCTGCTGGGCCTGCAGAATAGCAGAACCCCAGTGGTGTGGGACAGAAGTGAAGGCATCAGCGCTGTTTTGCTGTAGCTGGTATGGCATAAAGTCATAGGCAGGCTAAGCTTGTAGGCAGAGGAAATGTGTTTTAGTGTAACAGCTAATATAGCTGAAAAAATTGGACAAGCTTTTAAGTCTCTGAGGAGGAGCTAGCATACCTGAGTTTGTCCAATTTGTGCAAGAGGTCAGTGATATGAGGCTGAGTTGCTCTGTAAACTTTGGCTACCAGGAACCCCTATTTTCAGCAGTCCCACAAAGGCATGCAGAGCAGCGTAGTGTTACTGGGAGAGGAGCAGTGCAGCGAGAAAGGTAGGAAAAAAAGACAGAAGAATTGTGCTGCTTGGGAAGCCTACTATGAGGATGTATTCAGCATGACTGCAGCCTCTTACAGCAGGATTTGACCATGTTAGACTCTCTGGTACCCTCTCTCATATTGCTCTCTACTCTGTAGCTTAGTGAACACTCTTAATATATGCATTTTCTTTTTTTTTTTTTTTAATCATTCCTGATTTAAGCTGAAATCAGTATTTCTCTTGTTTCTCTTTAGCCATCTGATGAAGATACTATTAGCTTTAATGTACCAATGTCAGACATTATGGAAGAAGATCAGTTTGTAAAAGAAGATTCAGGTCACCATACTAACTCAAGAAAAGGTTGGAATGTGAAAAAAGAGGACGTTAATGGAAACAAGGAAATGCTATTGATAATTTTATACGTAGCATTGTAAATTCAGTTTGCAAAAAACACTACCTAACAAACCTCAGTCTTTCTGGAGCCTACAGACACCACCATTAAATTAGATTTTGTGTTTACTGCTATTTTTCCTTGCGATTTTCAGTGATTAATTTTGCACTGGATGAATGTCTTATTAAATCTGTAGTTTTATTGCTAATATCCTAGTCAACAAACTGTTATTTTCACTACCCTAATCATTTTAGTTTTTTTGTAATATGCCTATCCAGCAGGCTTCAAGCACACGTATGCAATCTTTTAAAAAAGAAGGAAAAAGCCTATGCTACTTAGAAAGGATTTAACTCTGTAATGAGTTGAAATCCCTATAGTCCTTTTCCAAACAACTTTTTACACTTTGTCTCAAGAGTTAGTAAGTTCTGGTTCTAACTGGGGATAGTCGATCAGAAAATTGAGAGTCAGTTAAAACGGTGCTTCCCAGTCAGTAATATCATTATCTAATGACTTTTACCAAATGTACCAGATTCTGAGTTAGCAGTGTGTAAAAGCAGAGTCCATTTTTCTGGTGGCTGGACTTCAAGCGTATATAAAGCTTTATAAATCAAAGTCAGCATTATATCTAGAAAGAAATAAATCTTTTCAGATACTGAGAAAGGATGTAACTTTATCTGAATTTATTAAATTTTCTGAATAATATCTACATACTGTTAAAAGTTTATCCAAGGTCCACACATGCTGATGGTAAATTGCAGGATGAACTCGGTGAGTTACGTATGGGAACCACAAAAATATGAGAGGATAAGCCTTTCACTGGTGTTATGAACTAAATTAAACGAACTTTTGATGAGATGCTTGTCAGAATTTAGTAGGACACTAGGTGAGAGAATATTACATCCTACAGTGTTTATCAATACAGTGGACAGGATACTCTTAAGTTATGAGATCAGTCCACATCGGACAAGAGGAGGAAATTATTACTGTCTCTCATACTCCTAGAGCTGGTGTGTGTAAGCAAGAGATTGTCATTGTAATCATTTTGTTTGAGTTCTGCTGAGAGGGTTTGGCTGTTTAAGAATGAATATAACTCTGAAGTTAGATTAAATTGTAAGTCTCACTGTCTGAGACATCCAACTATTCTAAAATATTGTTGCTGCTTAACTGTTTTTGTATGGGTACTACCAAAACATCTTTGATTTAGTTCAGAAATTGACTCCGTCTATGCCTGTTGATCAGATTCTGAGCTCTGAAGGACCACGTTTGTTACAACTTTGAAATGAATTGATATCCCTCCTTAGAATCCAAAAGTCTTAACTTGTTTGAGGTTTTTATATGCTTTGAATTTAAGCTTTGCTTGTATTCAAGTCCTATATTTAAGTGTTCTCCTGAGTAGCAAATGTTAAGCTGAACCAGAAATCATTCCTCTGTCTTTTTTTATTCTTAGTGGAATTCCATCAGGGATCTTCTCACTTGATTATCAATCATAAGTCAAGAGAAAAAGGAAACCAGTTTGCTAATGAATCGGATACGCTTACTACTGAATTTATGAGTTACATTAAGGCAAGTTTGTGATAAATTTCAAGTGGGGGAAAATGTCTTAACTACTTTCGTAAGTACAGAGTATACAGGAATGACAAATTGGAGACAGTTCATATACATGAACTGTTCATATACAGTTCTATAATTATTCAAATACACTTTCCTACTGCCCCTTTCTATAGCATAGAATATAGTTTATAGGAGAGTATGTAACAACATAAACACACACATGTATAGACATATACAAGTATATTCAAATACATGTGTGTATGTATGTGTGTGTAGGTATATATCCATATTTCATAAACAAGCATGTATATATGTACGTAAGAAGAGACAGCTTTTCCACAATAAAACTTTGATGTTATACTCATCACTCTTTTTTGTATATAATGATGGTCTGTCTGGTTGCCAGCAAAACTTTAGTTTCCTTAAGACATGCGTTAGTGAATGCTGCTGGTGTTCTGGATTTCCAGTTACACAGTTGTCATAGGCAGTTGGTTAATCCTATCGAAAATACTACTCATGTATTTCTGTTATGCTCAATGAGCGTTTTATTTACCAGCCTTGTTATGTCTTGCTGGGTTTGTGGCATCTTCTTGGGGAACTAACTTTCTTACGTTTCTAACTGCTTCCATGATGAATGGCCTCAGATAAATTGTTCAGTTGTGCCTTTTTGTGTTTTAAAATTGTATACTTCCCATTTTCATTATCCTTTACTCTTTTTTTTTTTCCCCTATTTGTGGCATTAGGTTTAGTGGATTTTGTCCACATATATGTGATAAAGTTGCAATAGAATCTATAGAAATGAATGACTATTCATCAGTGATTGCCATTGTTTGTTAACTTGTGAAATTCATTTGGCTCATTATATAGCAAGAGCTGCATAATGTTTTTTTTTTTTTTAATGTAATTAGGTAGACCGAGGAATTTTTGAGGGATTCTAGAGAAGATTTGAGCAAGTCTCTTTTCCTGTGAAAATTTATTTGCCAAATAGTTTTGGTAGATTCTTTGTAATATAAAGATATTTGATAAAGAGTAGTATTTTATAGTGTTCCTATGGCTATGAGAAGGTATATCTGTTCTTGATTTATAAGCCGGAAGTGATTATCTAGTATGGATATTTTTGGACCGGTTTGTTCCTTCTGTGGAGATTCTTAAAGGATGTGAAGAGGCTTTATACCACTTGCAGCTTCCATCTGTTATTAGTAGACATGTACTGGGTAATAATGCTGGAGAGACAAAGGATGTGACCTCCCACCTTCTTGAAAATAGAGGGAAACAGCCTTCTGGTTCTGCAAATGATCATTTTTATTTTTATTTTTTTGACGACATTATTGTTTCCATTCTAGCAGCAAAACTCTTGCAGGTGCTGTTGTTCTGGTTGCTGCTAGTTGTAGAGTCTCTGAGGTCACAGACCAAGAGGAATTGCGTTTTTAATAAAACAAAAGAGTCCTTCTCCCCCTTGTAGTTATTAAAGACATGTAGAAGACTTTATTTATCCAGTAAATATGTGTTGCTTAGGTGGATTTTTTTTTTTTTAACAAATATGAATTTGAGAGCATTAAATATCTCAAGTATTTATCATGTAAAACTTAACTGAGTAATAGGAAAAATTATTTATAGATGCTGAGTGTTTAGGACATTAAGGATTATCTTAGATTGGCTTGTCTTTTTTTTTTTTTTTTTTACTTTTATACTAAAAACTTTTTGATTTAGAGATCAAAAAGTTAACACATCAGAACAGGTTCCCTGCATACAGAGACTGAGAATCACCTTCTAAAATAAATGACACGTTTTTCTCATCAAATTATGTGTGCCTTTCTTACCGGAAGAATCACATACTTCATCATACATGTAATAAGAAGTAATGGATGAAAAGAATGGCTATGTTTATTCTCTTGGGGATTGGCACAGGGAAATGAGCTGTCCTTGGGGAACATTAGAGAAGCTCGTGCACTCTTCAGTGACACATTTGGCAGAGCGGGATAGCATTTATTGCTACAGGGCGATGACTGATACACCAAACACATGACGCAAAAGAGGATAGGCATCTCTGTCTGCTGCTCGTTCTCTCCTAGTACAAATGCACATCTATTCAGAGAACTTCTGCCTTTACTGGCAGCTGAAATACTTCAGTGTTCCTGCCTATCTGAGATGAAAGAGTAAAGAAATGTGCAGAGCACCAAGTGGAAGCATGAGTGGGGGATTCAACTTTTCTAATAATAAGTAGTGCTCCATAATTATGGCTAGGACAGTGGCGGGCTCTAATTTGTGGTGGCAATAAATCCCAAATAACTGGCCAACTGATATGAATTGTTGCACACAGTTTTTCTTCTAATTTTTTTCATTTTTTTATGCAGAGCTGTTAAAATAGTCAAGTAGGAATTTTGTCAATAATTACAATGAAATGTATGATTACTGGGTTTTTTTCTTACTCTTTACGGATTTATGGTGTGCACAAAACTTAAAGGTAACGTGAATATCTTTCAAGGGGCAAGACGGGTGTTAGTGTGGGGTTCCTGTTTGCATATTTGGAGTTTTCTTGCTCTGTAAACAAATCTGGCAGTGGGAGGAGAGCAATAAGATGAGTGTCAGGGTCATGCTTAATTGAAGAATTGTTTGCATATGCCAGAAAGGCACAAATGAAATCTGGGGCATTGAATGACGAATGCTCATGCTGCTTGACTCCTTTTTAGAGTTAAAGGAGGGTAAGAGCTGTTGACCTGAATAAAATCTGAATGCTGAAGAGAAGGTCATGTAATCAGTATCTTAAATGGGGTTAGAGTAAGGAGTGAGCAGAAGAGTTGGATTGCTTCAGCTAGCCACTCTAAACCGTTAAATAAACTAGGTCAGAGTCTGAAAGGGAAATTTATCTGCGTACTTAATGGTGAAGGTCTATTCTTGATAGCAGTTTGTCTGCTTACAGAGCAGAGCAGCAGAGTGTGATGAATTATTGAGAATAGAAGAGGACGCACAATGGCAAACAGAGGAAATGTAAGTATTTTTTTCATGTGTCTAAAAGTAATTAGCTGTGTCATCTCATTAGATGACCAAAACCGGCATTTCCTCGTCAGTTAATAATTTTGTATACTAAGAAGCGTGACAGAAGCACAGACTTGCACTTTATATGTATGCTCAATATTTATACGATATTGACAATATTAATTGGATTTTATATAACAGCTAATTAATTTATATGCACTAATAAAGCTATAATGTTTTTACTTATGAAGAGTCCAAGCCTTTTATTTAGGTATTGATATGCACACTCTTAATGGCATCGGTAAAAGGATTTTATCAAAATTTCTAATGCTTAAATTTAATTTACCTTAAAAAAATTATAATTTAAGTGGGGAAAAATATCCGTCAGTCGTCTTTTGTTATAATTTGCTGACCCTGAAGTAGTCATAAATTCATAGACGTTATTTCAAGAGCAGTGTAAGCGAACATCAGTCAGTTAGGAGAGTGCATTAAAAAGGTGATTTAGCATGATTTGGTGACTCTGAATTGTCACTAAGCAGAAGAGTGGAGTCCTATGTAATTAAAAACAAAAGCTGAAGGCAAAAATGACTACTTTCTGAAAGAGCCTTATTGGTAGAACTAGCAGGGGATTGTATTTCTAAAGTCCTGAAAGAATTATGAAAGTTGAAAAGCAAGAGAGCGTGTCAATCCATTAAAAGAATCTCTGATTTTAATATTTGTATTAAGGCAATATATGTGATGAGTGAAGTTAGTAAGTAGTTAAATATTTATAAATAAAGTGTCAGTTTCAGAAGTTGGTCTGTTTTAATTGAAATACTCAAAGTTTTAGCTCATCTCACAGTGTGTGTTTGTATGTAAATACATATATATATACACACACACATATATATATATATATATACACACATATATGTGTGTGTGTGTTAGGTTGGGAGGCTTTGATAAGGAAAGCATACTAGAGAGCTTTTTTCCGAAATGTCTTTTCGTAAATTCAGCACATATTAGACCACAGAAGCTTTTCTGTTCTCTAATGTTTGAGTCTCTGTTTGAAGATACAGGTCACAAATTGAAATTCAGACTGCCCTGATTGCTGTGGTACCTCTTTTTTTAATCTTTTGGTGTTTTTTTCTTTCTATTATAGAATACATTTGCCAGAAGAACAAACGATTGATATAGCAATGATAGAACAACTAAGAGAAGCAGTAGATTTATTACAAGACCCCAGGTATGCTTATAATAGGTGTTGTCTTAGTGTCATGTATTTAAAAGTTTTGTGAATGGCTTTTGAATTTCTTTTTTTCCACTGAGAGTTGAAATTTCCCGGGACTTACAGAGTACTTTGCTAGCATACTGATATTTTTCCAGAGCTACTTTATTCAAAAGGGAAATGTCTTCTCTCTGTGAGTATATGTACAAGCTTCTCGTTGAATTAATCAGGATTTCAGATTGAAATAAATCTTACACCACAGCTAAGCACGTTTGAGATTCAGAAACAAAAGGTGACATTGAAGCACCCTTAACACACATTGACACAAGTTCAGCCTAGAGCGTATTGTTTGTAGCCGCTTTCATTGACAGATATGATTATTAAACTTGTAAAAACACATCCAGGAAGTGAGTTACTGTTGTTGTAGTGTTTTACAGGATTTCAAATCTGCACATCTTATGTGCACAGAAGCAGTGTTTCAGTTCTGGAGCTGAAATGGATTTCAGACTCCGCTTCTTTCAACTCCCCCACGTATTCACTCGCATATTGCTCATATTCCCTACTTCCTTTCAAATTGTTTGCTATTGTGATTTACTGTTGTGTTACTTTGTTCTTGTGCACTATTAAATTTGAATATCACATTAAGGCTTTGGGGTCTATTCCAGCACAAGGAAGGTGCTAGAAGTTGGACATAGAAATCTACACTGTTTTAGATAATGGCATGGTTGGTTGTGCTGAACAGGTCCATTTGTTTGGATACAAGCCATTGCTCAGGAGGACGTTTTGCAGATGAAAGCACTAATTTTGCTTTGACAGAACTGGGGATGGTATTTCAACAGGTTGTTATGAGATAATACTGAACAGGTTAAAAGCATGACTAAAACCATAAATTACTTATCCATTTACTTATAAATACTTATAATTTTACTTCTAAATTACTTATCCATTTGTTTGAAATTAAATACTGAACAGAGTGGTTGGTGAAGCCATACCTGCAGTGCAGTGGTCAAACCGTGCAGATTAAGTATGGATATTTCAGAGAGCAGTGTTGTGAATCTGCTTCCTATGGAAGCAGCAACAGCTTCAAAAATTTCAGGAATCGACAGTAAAGCGTGTTTATCTAACTTTTTTAGAAAAATGACATGTTTCTTAGATTCATCTTATTCAAATTTCTACGCTCTCGATAACATGTTTGCATTTGTTTGTCTTTATACATAGCAGTCAAATGCAGATGGAGATGTCCTCCCTTGGTCAGGTACGTTAATGAGCACGTTACTGCAAAACACCTGGGGTAAAGACAGGAAGTGAGCCAACAATTTCGTGAATTATTAATCCCCCAAGTAGGGAAGGGAAAAATGTAGTCTACTGGAAGTCACAACTAATTCTTTTGAACATTTTAATAGAATTTTTCTTTGTGTGTGTTTATTTTAAATTTTCTGGGATTATCAGGTTTTTTTTTGTCTTAGTTTTTCCCTTCTGTGTGGCTTTCCTGGATTCTGCAACCAGGAAAGCAGAATCACCATTGCCTTTCCACAGAGCCGTCTCTTTCAAGTATTCTATTGGCTGTGGAAAATAAATTACTAATGTATAGAGCTCAGCTACACGTACCCTTTCCCATGCCCTCAGATCTCCCTAGTTTGGTATAGGAGAATAATACGTTAATGAAGGATAACCTCAAAGTGTTTTATACGCTAAAGATTGTTGTTTTCCCAAGGTGATGACGCTACAGTTATAGAGAGTATGTATAGCATTATTTGGAGTTTTACCTTGTGATATATGCTGCTTATTACTTTATCTGTATTCTGACTGGTGAACTAGTATTCTTATGAAGTAATTTGTTTAGATTTTCAAAATTATCTCCCTGTAAATGCTGGAATTGCAGGTATATGGTGTGTCTGATTACTTCTCTTGCTGGCTTTTCATCACAGTATTTTTAAGAACTACTCTGAGATAATGTTATGCCAAAAAAAATTACAGTTCTATTTTTAGCAATATGCAGTCTAAAGAGTATATATATTATAGAAAGAAAATGCTGAGGAGGAACTGGAATTTCAGAAGAGGAGGGAATTGATTATGGAGAAAGCCAAGACTGAAGCCAGAATATGCGAACAGGGTGAAAACTGGTCATTGAGTCAGGTATGGAGGATATAACAACTGTGGAAACACTTGGAATGAGTAGTTGCCTCCTGTTTGTTTCTGTATGGAAATAATAGCAGGTTTAGGCCCTTTGGGGTTTTATGCCTTGGCATGAGTGTCAAGCTTTGACTGTAAATGAGCAGTTAAAGAAGACTTAGCTCTCAGAAAAGAGCTGGTGTAATGAAAGTGATGATGTTTGTCAGAGGATAAGACTTCTGTAGCGGCTGCAGTAGCTACATTCCCCTAGAGAAAATGAGTCTATTCAAGAGTTAAACCCTAGGTAAAAAGAAACAGCTGATTCCTTTCCCCCCTACCCCCCAATTACCTCAGCTCTGTCACATTAAACATATTAAGAATACTGCTGTTTACATCAAATTAGCAGCTTACGCAACTACGTGTTACAGAGGAGACTACATATAGGTTGAGATGTTAGTTTTAATATTTCAAAAATGTTTTCATTCAAAAATGAAATTCAAAAAGCATTTGAGTTGTTTCATGCCTTTATTCTGCTGTTGCGTCCGGAACTTACCATCATCCTTAGATGTGGGGTCACCAAACTTTATTTGAAATGGTTTTGAGATTACACACCAAACTAATTCAGTATCAGAATATGTGTGGTCTCTATATTTTAGTGAAGCTGTTTAACAAGAGCGCTGCTGACTTGCTTTTAAGAGCCTTTTAAAAAGAAGAAGTAAAACCTCCTAAACACTTGTAGAGGGCCTGATCTGGACTATGTCGTCGGTGAAAGCACTAGGGACTTTCCGTAAAGTGAAATAGAAGTTGCTGGCACTTAATATTTTGCGGGTGATGTTTACACATCTTGCAAGAGCAAATATGTAATCATACTGCATTCTGTAGTACGGTAAGCATTTGTATCGCTACAGTTAAGCATAAATTGAAAGTTCTGACTAGTGACCTGCATACTGTGAGAGATTTGACCTGTAAAGTAGGCATAACTAGCATGTCATTCTTTCTGTTTATTCTAGGGAACATTATGGTTGAGGTAAGATTATGAGAGAAGTCCTCAGCTGAGGAATTTCTTAAGCCTCAGAGGTAGCCAGGAAAGGTCATGCAGCAGAATGGGTGTGGAGTCTTCCTTCCCATCTTGTTAACTTTTGGAAAGCTCTGTGACTTTTGGGACCAAGTGTTCTGAGTGTTTGTTTTAGTTTTGTTTCCATTTTTTTCATGATAGAAAAAACCTATGGAAAGGTTTTGAATTGAATTGTAATTTTTTTTTTTTTAACCTATGCCAGTTCTCCTTCTGCTGACTGGGTTATGATGGATACAGAATTAATGATTATATTTCATTCTTATTAGCATGAGTTAAATGTTTTCAGTTTAACTGTAGCAGAATCAATAACAAGAGGTATGTTATACTGCAATTATAAAATGAATTGCTTACAGAGTACTTCCCTTTTAAAATCTCTATTAATGTGTAAAACTACTGGTGATTGTTTAATTATGACCTCTGTGAAACAAAATTAGATGTTACATTTGAACCAAGTAACATTAAAATATTGTGCACTTGTGAATCAGCATTGAAACTAAGAAGTTAAAGACAATGTGTGCAAATTTCTGGTATCTTCAGTTCATCTAGCAATAAAAATATATGTTTTTCAGGATTTTTTTTTGGCTAAAGATCAACCTAATCTGGAAAAATGCTTTAAAGGTGGAAAGTATTAAATATTATATGTTTTTATGTATCTTGAGGAAAAGACCCTGTGATGATATATGATACATACCCATGCTGAACCAGTCTTTTTTTCCCCCCTCCCCTCTGCCCTCGCTTCCCCCAAACATACAGAATGATGTAATTGTGTGGAATACAAGTGGGCAAAGCTCTCACGATGAGGTAAGATACTAGTGTCATTCTTTTGTCTATTATTTGTAGATCATCAGTTGACATGGTATTTTTTTTTAACTTACTGCACGAATATTTAATATACTGAAGTGAACCAAGTGGTTGAATAGCACAGAAAACATGACTGAGCTGATAAGTGATGACAGTTTGTTTCATTTGGCCTATTTGTTTCATTCTCATCTTCATTAAGGATTTAAGTATAAAAATGTAATTTCTGATATACTGCTTATTTATGTACTTTCATATAAAAGATATAATTTTTTTACACTTTGCTCATTTTGCCACAATTCTTTTGACTTTTTCCTTGTTCCACAAGAATTTTCACTGATCTCAGTGGGATTTGTTTTTGCACAGTTAAGTGTTGTATCCTTCAGTTTTCAGAGAAGAACCCATTTTTTTGATCCTGTTGCTTGCACGGTGTGGATACTTTGTTTTCTTTATTTTCTGTGCAGAAACAGGGTTTGTTCCTCTTCAAAGCACTATATACCAGCATCTGGCAAATTCACGAGCTACCATATAAGTGGAGGGGGAGGACCGTTTTCCTCCTATTGCAGCTTCGAGTTGCTCTCTTCTTCCTTATATGCAGAGGGCCCTAGTTACCTTCCATCAGCCTTGGTGATGGGGCTGTATAGCTCCTGGCTCCATGAGCACTCACTTTTTAAATAGGATTCCCGTTAAGGAGTTTGGTTGTAGGACTTTTCCAGAGTTACTGTTGGTGGTATGATTATACCTCACCTTCTCCTATATGCTATTGCTACTCCGTTCTTTGTGCTGCATCTGTTTAGTCTCGTTCAGGCTCGAGGAATATCCTACAATGAGGTGTATGATTAACTTCCTCCTTTCTGCCTTTTAGGCAGATATTCAGTGCTATAGGGAAAATAATTATGCAAAGCAGGAACGAATGCAGTATAAGAAACAAGCGAATCTAAGGAAAAACTAACCTTTGTTTTATTTTTGTAATTGTACTACTGCCACAGAAATGTATGCTGTATAATAACCAAGTGATGATGTGAGAACATTGAGGAATAATCAGACACAGTTACAGCTAGATCGAAAATCCTGCAGTCTCTGGTCAGAAACTTCTCTTTTCCTCAGAAGGAATGGGATGGAATAAGAAAGGGAGTGTAGGTACTACATATTTTGAGACTGTATTGTGACCAGATTGTAGCAGAATTTTTGTAGTATGCAGTACTGTTAACCTCTGCGTTTTATGCAGTCACTTGTGCCGAGATATTTTGGACATCGCTCTTACTCAGATTTATGTTTTTGAATTCCGCAGAACAAGGATAAAAGTCCGACAATGTCTCCTACTGCAAACAACACGATCCCTTTTGGCCTGAAGCCACGATCAGGTAACGTGGGAGAGAAATGTGACTGTTATGCTCGTAAACTTTCAGAACACTTCTCCTTTTTACCCCTCTTTATTTCATTCAGCAGAAATCAGTGAATTTCTGTGCACTTTTTTACATACGTTATTGATAGATGTGTGTATTTTCTTCCTTAAGAAGGCAGCGATAAAACATTTTTTGTACAACAGCATGAGGAAGACTAGAACTTTGTAAGGTTATAGATTCAACTTAATGAATTTGTAGCAACGGTAAATATTTGGCACATTTTATGTGGATCAGTTTTCATCCCTTACTAATAAATTATTTTATAAAGTTATGTGGATGTGTGCCTGTGTATGTATGTTTATGAATATGTATGTGCATATGTATGTATGTATATGTATGTGTATGACTATATATGTGTATAGGTATATATTAAAAAATGGTTTGACATGCTAATTGTAATAACCATATTCGCTTAACTGGTGTGTAGTGATGCAGTTTAGGTTTTTCTAAATAATTTCTGTGAATAATTAGACTTGTTTGGAAAGTGCTTAGGCATTGCTCTGAAAATGTATCAATGAGTCTTTCAGTAGTTATACTTGTTAGAAGGATTAAATTTTATAGGAAGATTAGATGTTCACTTCAGCCAGAAGCTGAGTTTAAGGAATTTGTAATGTCCTGAATTTGTATAACTCTCAATCTTGTACTTAACATGCAACAGTTCATTTAAAAAAAAAAACAACAACTGTTAATGTATTTGAGAGCTTGAATGAACAGCTTTCTTTGAAAACAGGATCAGCTATAGGATTAAACTTAGTTTTTATCTTCTGTGTTCCTAGGTAGTCAATCTTGTTAAGTCATCTCACATCATCTCTAGAGAATAGCCTTAGGTTTTTCAATATATTTCAGCTTCCTAAGACTGCAGTTCTAGTTTCTGTCATTCACCACAAATGCTTTCAATCAAATGCTGGTTAAACCACTAGAACCTTGCAGTTTCCATCATAAAATATCTTGGCAATGATGGCAGCAGTTTCATATTTGAATGTATTTTAAGAAACTGTACCCATAGATTTGTTTAAAAAAAGTTTTAAAAAGTAAAGAAGAAGTTATTGAAACAACCTTGTTTCATGAACAGGGTGTTTTACCTTTCCCATAGAGTTATGATATACAAGCTAGGCAGGGTAAAAAAACCTTTAGATCCATTCAGTTGCATTTGTTAGTTTGTTAGGCCTTTAAACTCTGGCTCTATTCTGTTGTGTTCCTGATGCCTTAGATATGTTATTATTTCTTAATATAGATACAAAATATAGGTTAAATGATGAGCAAATGAGTCCTTTTGGGACTTGGCAAAAATCTTTTGTTTGCACTGAGTAGTATCGCGCAGGTGATGGTAACAGCAGGATAACATTGTCAGGAGAAAGACATGTAAAAGACAAATGAGCCCACGTTGTGCTGCTGCTTTAGCAGGATGTGGCCTGTGTTCTGTTGAACGCCCAGTGAGATCTGCTGCCAGGCACTGGATGCAGAGTTGTAAGAGAGGATGCAAAACTTTAACCTTCTTGTTCGGGTGTTAGTTGAACGTGTACTTCCTAATCTTGGTGTATCAGTGCACCTGTCCTGTACTTAATGACTACTTTTTTTTTAGAGGATTTCTAGAGGGATTTAGAGGATTTCAAGGGCTGCAGTTCCTTGCAACTTACCTTGCAGGTCAAATGATGGAAGAACCAGATGTGCAACTCCTCCAGTTCTTCCCCATGGACCCTAGCTGTGTGTAGCCTCATTAAATACCAGAGTCAATTGGATATAATCTGTTCTTTTTCTGCGCTGTACCGTTACAGAATCATATATTTTAACCACTTTGAGTATGCTAATTTTGATCCCAGCTGTGGGCTGTAGAAAAACTGAAATTACCAGTTTTCCATGTCTGAATTTATTTCCCTCTGCATATCAAAGACTACAGAATTACCAGCCTAGAGCTTTTATTGTAGAATCTTTCACCTCATCACATGCAGTTTCAGTCATGTTACCGTAGGTTTATGTCACGGTAAGACAGTAATGTGGCAATAGCCTCACTTGAAGTCCGATTCAACATAAAACAGCAGTATATTAGCTACGTAGCACAATGTGTCAAAATGAAACCTTGCAAAGGAGAAGTGGCACTAAAAATTGTTCACTCCCCCCATACTACTTTAAATGTAGTATTCAAATTTGTTTTGCTAAGACACAAGAATATGAAGCAGTATGTGACTGACAATACCAGGGTGTTCGTCAGTCTTGCAGATTTTTCCTATTATAGCTGGTTAGCTTGCTGTATCTCTCATTCCTTCACTATCTTCCTCTTAAAGCTTTCTGTGCTAGTCTTGTGCAAATTTGAACCGTTCTGTAGCTAAGTTTGTGCTTGTTAATTATATACTCTTTTATTGCTGTAGAGCTGATCTTGAGGTCCAGGAGTTCTGTGTTCCAGGAAAGTTTTTCAGCTCAGCGTGTAGTTTATTTTAATAGCTTTTTCATTTAAGTTCTGCATGGCCTTAGGGAATGAACTTTAAAACTCATTGAAAATGACATTTAGCTATTTAGTTCATTACAGTTTACATTTGAGTTACTTGCTCCTATAAATCTTTTGAACTTGAGTGCAAGATTGATTTTAAGTTATTCTAACTAAAATGTGCACAGCATGCTCTGCGGAGGGCATTATGTATATATGTGTATGTATATATAGACACACATGGCAAAATTTCAAGGAAAGTATATGCAAGCATACCTTTCTGAGATTGGAGAGTTTATTTTCATTATGTTTATTTTCATCCTTTTTAAATTAACAGTGCTTTCTATTTAATTTTTTCCCCACTGTTTCATAATGATTTATGTCTCGGGGAAAGGTAAAAGTAAACAGTTCTAGACTTCTGGTAATGATTCCTGTTTTTTGAAGTACACACACAAATCAAAGTGCTTCCAGAGGACAAACCACAGTTGCTCAAACTTACATACTGGTATGTGTTCAAGACTAAAGGTCCTTTTATTCTTTCTTATTAAAGCTAGGCAAAACATGGCAAAAATTCATATTTGATGACTGATTCGGTATCCAAAGAAAATGTTTTGAAAGGTAATGAATATGTGTGTTTGACCTTTTGACAGATTCTTTTCAAGGGTCAGATGTTACACAGAAGGTAGAAACAGGCTTTCTGATTTTTCAATTATTTCCTTCTGCCTTTTAAAATAATTTAGAACGTATGGGCTTTGCAAATTCACATTCATTTTGAAAATCCTAAAAAATTATTGTTGAAAAGAAGCAAGAATTATGAATTTTCTTCCAACCATAGTTGTTCTGGGGAATGGTTTTGCTCTCTGAAGAGGAATCACCCAAAACACTTAATGGGTGTAAATTTCTTGCATTTGGTTCATGAATGGATTGTCATGTTCCAAGTGCTGCCCATTGTAGAAACTGAATGTTGCAAATTTTTTTGCCATAATATCTTTAAAATGGCAGACCTGGAGGTTTGAACATCTGCTAATACCTCTTGCAGTGTTCAAGAATACTAATTTGTCTCTTGTTCTGTGCCATTTTGATACTATCCTCTTTCATAGTTTCTGTTGAACATAGTGGCAGCAACGCAGACAAACAAAGAAATAATGATTGTACCTTTAGAGGCTATAATAAGCACAGACAAAGCTGAAAATAACAAAGCAGAGTGTATGGGAAAGTAAAAAGTCGTTCCCTTATAGATCTATAATTTTACCTCTGAATCTAGTATCTTCCTTTTGGTAACTTGTAGAGGATTTGAAGCACAATGTTAACACCTGTGAACATGCTTAACTCGGTCTCTTAGGTCTGTTGGAATACATCATGATTATGAGAAGTGAACAGTATGTTTCGCTCTTTTGAGGGTTAGTCACTGTTTTCTAATCCCTGTATTTGACTGTATTTGATCTTTTTCCCCCAAGAAAACTAATTGGATTGTCTGTGTACTTTGGAAAAGTATGAGAATCCTAATTGCCAGCATAGTTAAAGACTGTTTGTCGTTTATTTGCCATAAATTTGTATTCGATTTCCCGTTCTTGATTTTGCTCAAGGTTTAAGTTTTGCTGACTCGCACATTCGGCTGACCTATTGTCCCAATAGCCAGAGGCAATGAAGTGGCTTTTGGAAAAGGCATGTCGTAAGAGAGAGAGCTTCTGAGAACAGCTGAGTGAGAAGAGAAGTTTAAGATGAAGCTTTATATGACATTGTCTGAATTATCATATTTCTAATACAGATTCCAGAATTGTGGGGAAGAAAGTTTGTGTTCCTATATGATGATTGATTGGGAATGGTGTAGATGGGGACTTTCTCTGCTTATTGAAACTTTACTTTGGCCTTTTTTCTGCTTTAATATAAAATAGTTTATACTGCTTTTTGATCTTAGTGTTAAATTGATTTAGGGTTACAATTTAGTGTTCAGAATGGAGGTTCTTTATAATCTCCAGCTTAATATGAGGAGTATGAGTGTTGCTTGTGTCTTGGATTACAGGAGATAAAACTTGGAAATATTTGTAGAAAATGGAGAAATGAGGGAAGGTCTCATTATTTTGGTGGCAGAAGTGGTGAGGAACAATGTGATCAGATACAGAAAAAATCATAAGGAAGTGGCATCGTTGTGAAGGGCAGGGACGGGGAGAGGTTTAAGTTCTGTGATGGAAAACAGGAAGCCAGTAGAAAGCTTTAAAGGGTTGGATGATGTGCTGAAGATAACAAGCAGGGAGATGATATTTTAAGGATGTCCCTGTCCAGTTCTGAAACACTGTAGAGCGGCGGTTTGGGGAAAACTCAAGAGAAAAGCCTTTCCGCAAACAAGGCAGGAGACAAAAGTGCAGAGCAGATGTGGTAAAAATGTCCATTGAGGGATCTGAGGAACAAATGAGAGGTGTTGCCGTGACAGTTGAAAAAAAGGCACAGTGAATGGAGAATAGGGACTGTGTTGCTGTACAAATTTAGGTCCATAGTCAGTTGATGGATAGTCATGAAATGTAAGCATGGTATGCTCTTATAGCCGCATCGCTGTCTAGTGAATAGCCTCTAGACTCTCTTGCAGCCTGTGTGGGCATGTCAAGTTTTGTATGTTCTAGGAAGCCCAGTTAGATCATTTCTGAGTGTACACTTGTTAGAGGGCTGTCTACAGAGCAGATTTGCCAAGGCTTGTGATGCAGCCTCAGGATCATCCTTTGGAGGCACTATATGTCTCTTCTTGTCCTTGGAAAGTCTGCAAAGGTTGCTGAGGAGCAGGATTTTCTTAGGGTGGTGGACGTGTTATAGGTTTGGACTTGCTGCTGGGGAAGTTGACAAGAAAGAAAAGTAGTGCAGTTATACTATTACGTTAATAAATCAAAAGGAAAACATTTGTAGTACATGCACTCATAGGCTGTATTTCAAATAAAAGGAGAATCCAAGGGATAATGTACTTGCTACTTATCGAAATTAGCTAGCAAGTTATAGTGTAGTAATACTTTCATGCGGACGTGTAGATCTTCATCTTCAGTTAAGGGAAAGGTGTTCTTATGACATAAAATTACAATATAACTAAATTCTTAGTCTCTGAAGTTTTTATTTTAATTACTGAAACTTCACATGACATTTTACCTATTGACTCACAGAATCAAGGTTTTCTTTAGGCGATAATGTAAAATCTATGGGTACTTTTTCTTAAAACTTGGTTGGAAATGGTTGTATGAAGTGCTATGGTTATGATAATCTTGTTGAGCTTAACAGCCTTAACTGCACATATAACGTATGACTTGCAAGTACTAACATTTAACTTTTCGTTCTTTATTCTGCATCATCTTTCATTCTTTTCTTCAAAAAATATGCATTTTTGTATTAATCACCTTTGAATTGCATCTTCATCATTACCATACAATCCTAATGCCATATATGAAATGCTGCTGCCTTCTCCCTCTCCCCCCGCCCTGTTTTTTTTTTTTCTTGGTCCTTATACTACCATGGCTGGACTGGCTATCACTGCCCTCCAGCAGACCCATCCCTCACTCTTCCTCCTATCTCCTTCAACACACTTACGCAGGCACAAACATGGGACAGCTATAGCTACAGTATCCCATCTGAAGGAGACAGTGACAATGGTAGGTGTTCTGTAAATGTTTACTTGATTTTATGTTTTGAGAAAAATGAATATACTGCAAATGCCCCATGTGGCTAAGGATGAAAGAGAGTACTCTTGAGGGAATGTTTAATAAAACCAAATGGCTCCGAGGATGTGTATTAATTTACTGTAGAATACGTAGAGTTACAAGTAAATGAGTGTCACTGTCTTCAACGCTGGCAAAACAACTTTTCCCATGATTTCTAATCCTAGAGCTACTTCCAGTATAGGTTTGTTTGTTTTACTTTTAAGGCTTCTAAAAGTCATACTCAAACATCAATTAACTTTGCTACTGTTTTTTCTGCTCAGGTTTTAGTCTGTTAATGCAGTTTTAATTTATGACTTTTTTGATAGATAGTAACTTTGTTAATTAAAATATCATGTTCCCATCTGCAGTTATTGATGCAGGTGTGTAATTAATTTAATTGCAAAAGGAATCCATGAAGTCAATGCTTCATGGGTTAGAAACAAAGCTGAAAGAATCAGATAAGCAAAAAGAGTGGTTTCTGTCCAACAGAAACTCTTAGTAATCTGTCAGACTTCCCTATGCGTAGTGAAGGCCAGATACGTTAGTGGACATGGCTACAGCCTCTTTGGTTTGGTTTGGTTTTTCTCCAAGGTGTTATTGACATAGTAGGTTGACTCTTGACATAAAATGCAAAAGCAAGAGAAAATTGGCCATGTTTGGGCTGTTAAGATTTTATGCTGCATTAATAGTTAAATGTCAGATAGAAGAAACAGCAACTAGACAATTAAACCATTTATAAATGTTTGATGTGTCGATGTACTCCTTTTTTTTTTTTTTTTTTAAGTAGAACTGCTGTTCTTCCAGTTGTGCCAAAATAGAACAGTGTGTAAGTGTTGGAGCTGTCAAAAGCTGGGATGAGTATAAATCATCAGATTGAAACCAAGAACACAAATCTTGAATAATAAATGCCTACATTTAGTTTAAAATGCCTACATCCTTATTTTGGTTCGTTGCTTGGCAGTACCTGCTGCTGTCACTGTACTCTTGGTTATAAAACCAGAAAAGACAGCATATATAAGAAACCTGCTCCGCGAAGGAAGTGGGTACACAATATAAGAAGTCTACAATACAAATAAGTTGGAAAATTGAATCTTACTGCCATACTGATACTGAGTTAACTTGATGTTTTACTCGTGAACGTTCTGATGGGGGAGAGAGAAAAGTAAAAAAGCTTCTAATAGCAGCATTTTGTTTGTAGTATGTCAAGATTAAAAAAAAAAAAAAACAATATATAGTTTGATCTTCCTCCAAAACTAGTTTATTCCTGGCAAAAAGCGATCAGTATATTCCCTTTGTCTTTTTTTTTTCTTCATTTTGGCAAAGACACATCTTCTCTGCCAGCACTCTCCTGTTCTTATTTTTTTGTATGTGGTAAAATCCAAAATACCACTGCTGATTTCGAGAACCCATTTATAGTGCCCTTGACAGCCTTTCAGATTTCTCATCAACCCCATCAAATTACACTTGCTGCCAGAGAGGAGTACTTAATGCTTTAATCTGACCTTGCATACTGTGGGACCACATTCAGGAATTTGCCATGTGTTCCTTGAGTCCCATGCAGCACAGATATCAGTAAAGACTGTAGCTAAAATACAGTGTGACTGATGAATTTTTAATGATTTAAAGAATTTCAGCAGCCTGGAACAGAACACTTCAGAGAATTTCTTTGGCCATTACAGGCTTGTATCAGTTGTATTTGAATTTATCAGTTCAATGCACTGAATGCTTGACATGATAGTATCTTTTTTTTTTTTTTTTAATTTAAACTTAGTGCAGTTTAATACTGTAGTATCTGACTTTTTTTGACAGTGGATAATATCTACCATTCACTGGCATTGATTTAAAAACAAAATGAATTCAGCATTGTAGAATTTTGAGAGATTTGAAATACAGGGGTGCTCATTCAGAATTGAACCTAATTTGAGATGTAGACTCAGAAGTTAGTAATCATCTTCCTTTTTATAAAAAAAATTCTTTGCCTCAAAAAAATAAAGCATGATCTTGCAGGCATTTATAATGCTGAAAGAAGGATGTTTATGTTGATCTTGTTGAGTATACTGGAACTTTAGAAGCAGATTACAAAACTACTATTTTTTCCAGTCATCTTTAAACCAAATACTCCCACTTGTCTGGCTTCTGAGACTGCAGAATAAAATTCTTTTTGAAGGGTGAGACAACTTTAGGTGGTATTCTTCAACATAACTGTTCAACAAACTGTGATTGAAGTTCCCTAAACAAATTTTCTTTACACTCTATGTCTATAGTTCAAATGGAAACAAGCGCAAAAATTAGAACAGTGAGGTTAAGTGCTATTTCTTCTATGCTTTGCTTTCACTTTCTTCACTTCTTAAATATTGCAAACTTGGTCTGAGTCTTGAAGATCAGGTATGGCAAGGCTTTCTGATTCTAATGCTTTCCGATGCAGCGAATTCTGTTCCCTTGTCCATACGTCACATGCTAAGATCTCAGGATTTGGAGCATTCTGCTTGTTTGTAAAGATGGCACTTTTCAACACATGAAATGGATAGGGGCTGACAGCGTTGCCAGATGCATCGCTTAGAGCGTCTGAACGCTCACCTTTGCTGGGATGGAATGACAAGCTGTGTATTGCTGAAGGCAAACAACCTTTCTCGCTTGCTCTCCCTCCCCCCCCCTTTTTTTTTTTTTAAATGAATGGTTGTTAGCAACAAGCAAAAGCCTGTGTTGTTGTTTTTAATTTGAATATAGCTTTGTAGTATAGGTGAGTCAGGCAAATTAGCTCTTTTAAGTTGTTTCCCCCCTCTTTCTGAAATGCCGATCAATTCACAAATAACTTTTCTGAGTTGATTTTCTTTTTGTTGCGTAGAAATCCTAGATTCTTATTTTTCTCCAGACTGCTTTGCTTTTTCAAATAAGCAACAGTATTTGCCATCTGCTAACCTAATCCCTTAAACTACTCAGATCCTTTGCTCTTTCATTATGCCCACTACATTCAAGTCTGATGGAATATGCAGAATTTTGTGGTTGGAAATAAAATACAAACACTAAGCTGCTAAACCTTGTCTAAACAGTCTTAATTAAAATTTAAAAGTATGTTTTCCAGTCACCACCCCTCCTAGAGGTCACAGTTTTCTTCCATGCTAGTCTTTGAAGTGCTAGAAGGAAAAATGTGGAATGCTTTTGGAGTAATACGTAGGTAGGTAGAAAAGAGCCCACAGTTTATTCTGTGTTTTAGCAGGGGGTCTTTTCCCCCCTGTTTGTAATAGTAATTACAGTAATAATCTTAGAACCTCATGGATTGCTCACTAAAGTAAATGGGAAACACATGCATAAGGGGTAGAAATGGTATCTTGAAGTTGAACTAAAACATTCCCCCAGTTACAAACATTTGTTTTCAGGGTATATAGAAAGCCACTATGAAAGTCTTATAATTGCAGTACCATATTTGCAACATTCAAAATATGTTTTCATTATAGAGTTTCTCTTTTCTTATCCTACTAATGTACTTTTTTCAATGATCAAAACTTGAAAATACTGTAAATGATATAATTTTTAAAATTCACTAACAGATAATAGGGAATTACGTTAGTGAAGCTTTTGTTATAAGCAAGCTAAGGGGGCACAGTAGAGTGAAAATGATGCTGGAAAGCTCTTTTGCTGAATCAAGCTTTAATTTAACAAGATTATACCTTCCATTCATGTATTAAAATTCTAGTGTTGTTTTTTTGGTGGAGTTTAGTGTAAAAGAAAGCATTAAAGTTATTCATCATTAAGTTGTATATGTATTAAAGAATTCTGTCATGGCAGCCTGGCTTTGAATAGTGAGGTTTTTCCCTAAAAGGTTTAGGGTTTCTTGGTTTTGTTTGTTTTTTCCCTGCCTTGCAAGTTGCATAGCCAATTACATCTGCCATCTGCATGGTGGCAAAAAATATTCTGGTGTAATTTGATGGACTTTCACACTCATTTTCTACTCCCCCCCCACCCCCGGCAGCAGAGACCATAAGTCTCCGAATCTTAAATATAAAAATTCTGCGTGTTGTCCTCTTTAAATTCTAGTGGAACTACACCAGTTTCTACCAGTTGGCAATACAGCTTTAAGCTGAGTTATATTTTTAAATGAGTTCAGTAAACAGCTTGAATCTTGTTACTCTAGATTTGCCACTGTTTTACTTTTGTAAATAAAATGACAGCAGTATAGACTGGTTTGTGCAAATGCACTTGGAACAGGTAGATGTTTCATGTCATGTAGATCTTAAGCTAAATGCAAATATTAGTGTTTATTCCCTTAAACTTTTACAGCAAAAACCATCTTTTACCAATGTTTTAAAAAGCATTGTTGCCTTTTTTATTTAAAGTTTGCTATCTAATGGTATATCGGTACGAAAGTAAAAGAGACCAGAGACCCTTCTCTGCCACTGAGGTTAGTTGGCACAGCATGAGTCAAATCCATACCTAAACTCTCTTACTTTCCAAAACAGGATGGCTGCATTTAAGCTGCCTTTTGGGAATGTCCTTGGCTTGTGCTACTCCTCGAACTGTACTCAGACATTGTTTATAAGAGGTAGTTTGCGCAGACCAAAGCTGTGGCAGGGAGCATTGGCCTAACAGTACAGATGTTCCTGGGCTAGTGCTCTGATCCATGCACTGACCCTGTGCAGCTTGCAGGTGTAGCCTTTCATACAGAAATGGCACCCATCACTGTAGTATCCTAATACTTCATCATCTTTAATGTAATTATCCGGCAACAGCACTATGTAATAGGGGAGGCTAAATCCAGAGTTTCTGAGAGATTGTAAGGCTTGCAACAGACCGATTTCCCAAGACTAATATCCATACCACTGGGACATTTTATTTTTTCAAATTATTCTATATACTAAATTCAGTGTTACTCAAAATAAATTTGGACTGAATAAATCAATCAAAGTGAAATCTTACTATCAACTTGCTTCTTGACTTCATCTCTGCCTGTCATTAGTCCAACATTTTTTGTCAAATATTTGCAGATGCACGTTAAATCATTTAGTTGTCTATCTAATGGATAGTGTCAAGCTAAGTATTTGGGATACTAAATTGCGGTTGAATTGCGGTTTAAATAATGTACCGAGGTGCATTATAATCAAGTACAAAAATTAAGATTTTCCATAAGGAAGTTTGTCCTTTTCTGCAATATGTAGAATATATACCATGTGTTACTAATTATTACCCATATAACTTGTAGATATATGCATAAAATAATTTTTAAACTCATTAGAACAGGCGTTATCTAATAACCGTAGTTGACCAGGCATGATTTCAGGAACTCTCTGAACTTTTCTGTACTACTATCTGGAAAAAGGAAAATTAGGCCTTCAGACGTGTGAGTGCATGCCTTGTGTGAGATATGGGCTCCCCTTGCTGGAAAACACGTGTAATGCAGAGAAACCGGTAATAGTCAGCACTACCAGAACTTCCTGTTTTAGAACGTTTTTCTGTAAATATAGGATGTAACTGAAACTTTTATAACTAATGCTTTTGATTGTTTGTAAATCAGTTTTCCTTTTTTAATTTAGAAACCTTTTATTGCAATTCCTTACTTCCTTGAGATTAACCTTCCTGTTCCCTCTTGGTGGAATATGTGTCTTCCTCATGAATGGAATTGAATAAATGAAGTTGATACTTCCTTTGCACTAACAGATTTTTGCAGTCTGAAATCTGAATGATCTGTACTCACGACATTCGTAGGCAGTGACTTGACAAAGGTCTAAGCAAGGATAACTATGGCCAGGCTGAACGAAGGCCATAAATACTCCATGCTACTTGCCAAATTGAACATAAATGTGAAATAATGTTTTTTATAGAGAATTATGTGAAATGCTGCTGCTGCCAGTGATGCTGCCGTGGGGTTAGTAACACCATTTAAATATAATATTACTCTATGGGTACATTTTTATCTAAATATTTTCTCTGTGAGAGAAAGCATAGCTAAATTATTGTACTTTGTACAACGAACTGTTTCTGAAACGAAAATCTTTACTTAGAAATTGAAACTAGCGTTTTTAATAAATGTTATAAGAGATGTTTGTTTTACCCTTTATAAAATTAGGTGCAGTCTTCAGTAAACTGTTACAGAATTATTAAAGCAGAGGTATAAATTTAAATGCGGAACAACTCTGGAGTTTAATAGAAGTCTTGTGGTAAAAGTATCTACATTTACAAAAGTTGGGAGTTGCTTTTGTTTGCATTGTAGCTCTCTTAAATTATGTTCTTTAAGTATCATTTTAGATATTTCTGATTACACCATATTTAAGTGTTTTCATCAAAAAAGTGTATCAGTAAAGTGTAAAATAATCTATATCGAGGTAGTGCTTTTGAAAAGGCATAATTAAAATAAGGTTTATGGACTATTAGAGTTTATAACAATACTTACAGCCATTAGAGTGACAAGTTTTCTGTGTTTGGTTATGTGCATATATGCAAATCATTGTTACACATATGTCTCTGCAAAATATTATGAAGTACATGTGCATTGATACACTGTGCTTTGGAAACAGTGTTCTGTACTAGACTTATATTTTCCCTTCTACAAAGGCAAAAATTAAGTAGCAAAACAACTGTGGACCTGTTGCATCTGAAGGCATGGCTTTGCTACTCTCATGTGCTTTGTGGGAGGTCACGCAGCATAATGAATGCTTTTATTCATCTCATGTGTGCCTATGAATAAAGTCTTCTCAATGGTGACGCTGGTGAAGCCATGTAGTTAGTCTGTCTGGAGAAGAGGACTGACCCGCAGTCATTGTTTGTAGTTCTGTCCTGCGCGTTCTCTCCAGGAAACTCTCCCGCTATGTCCGTGCGGGGGTTGATGATGCTAGGGACTAAAGCATAAAACTTCCAAACACCAAAACTGTAACATTAAAAAAAAAAAAATAAAAAGTCATTTACCAAATAAACTTAAATTCCTGAAATTATTAATTTCCTGAAATTGTTAATTTAATGGCAGCATAGCAAATTTCAATTCCTTATGGAAAGTTAAAGCTCTATATGTGTGGATCAAGTGGCAGAAGGAAGCAAGTTTGGTAACTCTGACCATAATTTATTCTGTTCTGTTGCCTCAGATAAAGATACGTCAGGAGCGTGTTGCCTTAAGCTCCTTCTGTAGTAAATATGGGAAAGATCACTTACTGCCTGCATGCTTTTCTGCCCTCTTCTGTCTTTCCCTTGGCTGGAGAAGTATCTTAGATTATTAACTTTGTTACTTAACCAACCTACCTATAATTAGATAAAATGCATTACGATTAGACTTGTCTGAGATTTCGGAGAAGTTCTCCTACAGAAGCCCTGCTTTTTTTTAAATTTCCCTGTGAGTCTTTGATGCCAGAGTTTACAGTTTTATATGTTGTCCCTTGACTGATTTTTGGGCTTCATTAACAGCTTTACTTTCTGTCAGAACATAGATGAAATTCCCTTCTGCTAAGGCTTTGATTTTTTTTTTTTTTTTTGCATATTTTGAGGACTGATTTTTAAAATTCAGCTTATTACCCAGACCACAACCTAAAGAAAAATAACTGATATCCTGTAAGTTTTTAATGGTACTGTATTGACACCCCAGTGTACCTTTCTTACAGGTAGGGTAACTCATCATTTTTTATTCTCATAGTAGGTGCAATTGACAATTTCTACACTTCCAATTTTCTGGTTTGCTTATTAGAAAATCAAAGGCTGTTCTATCTCATTTCTTATCAAGTCAAATATTATCCTTTCTTTCTTTCGGAAATCTCAGCAAGGTGCAGTCATCCCAGACACTACTTTCTTCTTCTTGTTGGAGAGGACTCTACTTAAAAAGAGTAAGAGGTATTTCCTCCCATGTCGGATACAGTTTTCTGCAGATCAGAATCTCTACGAGACAATACTGGTGCTTAATCTTCTGACAAAACTTGCCTATTGTGATCAGGATCTGGTTGAAATATCACATATTTCACTCCATTGATAACATATGATGCAGTTCTGAGCAATAGCCAGAAAATATTTATTTATGACCACAGCCCAAGATTAGATTTTTCTGTCCTCCTGAGGAAGAAAAATTTTCTAACCATTTTTGCTGTAGTCAATGCCTGAGAATTTTGTTGAATTTGGAAATCAGTAAATCAGGGTGTTTATTCTTAAACTATGTCTTTTTTTAAAATCATAGTGTTCTTAAGACCACAGAGAAATTTGGAGTCAATAGACCCACAATTTACAATTCGAAGGAAAATGGAGCAGATGAGAGAAGAGAGAGAGCTTGTGGAACAGCTACGTGAGGTATGTGGATGTTGGTAGAATGTGGATTTATTTTGGTACATATTTTTTAATTTTTCTTTAGGAAAGTTGTCTAAGTGGGGAGAATATCAAATAGGAAAAATGAAGCAATATACTTCTGCAAATCACATTAGTAAGGCCGTCCCTGAAGCACTTTAGCCAAGTCAGATATCTGTACTTCAGAAAGTGTGTTGTAAAAATGGTGAAGCACACTGAGAAAGTGTTACCTGAACGACATACAGCTAAACAGCAAGTCTTCTGTTGGGAGAATTGGTGTTGACGTCTATTTAATTTCATCAGAATGGATGCGTTGGTGGCTTGAGAGGTAGAGAGATCTAGAAACTGTTCTCTACATCTGGAGAAGTCTTGAATCTAGCTAGTAAACCTGTTAGAAGCAGAAGTTGAACAACTTCAGATAAAATCAGGCACTTCTGTATAAGTAGACAGTAGCTGAAGTGCGATGAATACTTCATCACTTGAAGATCTGAACATACAGAAATACTGTCTCATGTATGTAGAAGCTAGGGCTTGATGCAAAAATTGCTATGTGTGGTTCTGTAGGAGCTATGTTACACAGCTAATACTTAGGTAGCCCTGTTTATTTGACACCTGCTCGTATCAAAACGAAGATGGTAACCTTTACAGCAAGGAATGTCGTGAGCCTGAACCTGTTGAGATTTCCCATTGTGCCGTGAAGAAAGGTTGAGGTAGCAACACTGCTAAATACAGTACAAGTCCTGAAAGTGTAGTAGGTGACTTTGATATCACAGCTGAATTACAGGATCACTTGTTCTTAGATCACTAGCTTGATGGAATGACTAATTGCAAAATTATTTATCTTTAAATAATATATCTGATATTATTTATTTTTAAAAGAAGAGGGTTTACCTTTTTTTTTCCTCCTTAGCAAGTAATATTTAAAAGTGGTTCTGTTTATTGTAGATCTGTGAAGACTTTTAGTTCATTCTTTTATCTTGAACCCTTGCTTGTTTAATACCTGGATTAACCTTACTTTGTTTTGTTAATTTTGTGCACAGAACAGATCTTGCTGAAGTTTCAGAGTGATTGATTGAATATAGTATTTTACCAATTACAAGCTCAGATGATGCCAAAAAGATACAGTGTAGGAATTAGATGAGGAGACTCGCTGGTGATGGAAAAGAAGAGGGAAAGAGCAATAATAAACTGTTGTAGAGTGTGCAGTAGCATGATTCTTATAATTGTAATCTAGTCAGCAGCATCAATGCCACTTTTTACATTTCTTTTAAGAGTTATAACAAGTACATAGCAAGTCCCCAATTGTTCCTAAAAATAATATCCTAGGGATTTGCCCCTTGCATGTTAGTGTAGTTAATCCTCTCAGTGAAAAGCAGAACAAGATTATTCACAATGTCAAGCGTGATCGTGCAGACGTAATATAGATCTCCCTTCACTTTGTTAATATTAGATGTTACTGGTAATACTGAATTAATGTTTTTGACCTTGAACGATGTGCACTATCCTCCTTTCCCGCCCTTACTCTGAAATTCTGTGTCCTGAAATGAAAGTTTTATCATCTCTTGTTGAGAAGTTTGACCATAGTCAAAGCATAGTGACAGAAGCGAAGAGATCAGGCTTATCTGGGAGAATAAAAGGAGACTTTTTGAATGAATAAAGTTTACTCTTGTATATTCGGTCTTTCAGCAAAAGAAGTAAACTCCAAACCATGAAATTGTGCTGTACGAAATAGCGCAGAAATAGGGCATATGTCAGTAAGTCATAAAGTTAATTATTATTATTGAATAGTTATATCTATTAATATCTTCTGCTTTTGAATCGTTTTACGGTATGTTAGAATTTCACAAGACTCCACAGGCACTGGGAACTGCAGCCTTAGCAGAATTGGGCATTAGGCAAGGAGGAAAAACTATTGGAATATTCAGGTTCCTAATCAAGCATTTAGACTTCTTGATAACCTTTTGTTCACTGCTTCAACTGAGCCTTATATTATGAGAACTTTGAGGTTTCTTCCTATCCTTTCCCTGATTTTATTAGAATAGTTTGTTTGTTTGTTTTACAGAAATTGTTCCACTTCGGAAAACTTTCTGTTTCAAATACATATCTTTATATTTCTTCCACTTGAACAATTTGGTTTTGTATACATCCGCAATTGCTTTAAACTGTTGTCATCTCAACAGTGATTCACTGTGTGCTCTCAGGCAATAGGGTCCCACAAGAAATATTGGTTTGTTCTGTTGCTCTAAGGATAAACGTTCAGGAGTTTTGACATGTTAAGTAGAACAAATTGTCTGCTACTGTCGTATGGGTGATTTGAAAGAGTAATTTTTCAATGGTGACAAAACTGAAATGGGATGGGTGCGTTTATTGGAGTTGTCAGTTTTAATTGATTCTAGTCTCAAATTATGAGTTCAGTTCAACAGAAAGAGTTATAGACGCAAGCTGTGCTTATCAAAAAAGTGTGCCTTGATATACATTGAATAGTGTCCCAACATGCAAATTAATGATTTAAAAGAAGGAATTTTTAAAAATTAATTTATATTAATCTGTTTATAACAGATTAACCCTATGGTTTTGAGACTTACTTCCAAATGTGTAACTTTCTATACATATCCCGTATACAAAAAAAGTTCCTTAATTTATGAAGTAATCCACAAATACTGTGTATATATGTGTGTGTGTGTGTATTTAAGTAGCATTGGTGGGAGAAGGTAACTTACTGGTGTCACAGATAACACCAGTTTCAGGTAAGCGGTTGATATGCTGCAGGTTAGGGCTATTGAAAGAGTCTTGACAGTCTGGACAAATAGATGGACCGAAACCTCATGAAGTTCAGTAGCATATACAGAGACCTACAACTGTGACCGAATAAGGTATGCAGGCAAACAGGTTGAGCCCTGACAAGCTAGCCAGCAGCTCTGTAGGAGAGGACCTGATGGTCCTGGTAGACACTAAGTTCAACATGAGTCAACAGTGTGTCCTTGCAGTGTGAAGGCCAACTGTTTATGGGGCTGCATTTGTAAGAGTGTAACTGCCAGATAAAAGGAAGTGACTATTCTTCTCTGTTGAGCGCTCTGAGACCATTCCCATGAGTACTTGAGTACTATGTTCAATTTTGATCTTCCCAGTAAAAAATAAATAAATAAATAAAAGGGAAATATATTGAGACACTGGAGGGAGTTCAGTGGGGAGCTTCTTAATGGACTACAACACAGGTCATATGAGGAGGTGGCTAGGAGACCTGGCTTTGTTGAGCTTGGAGGAAAGAGCGCTGAAGGGATCCAATGGCTGTCTTCAGTTCCCTAAGTCTCAAAGAAAATAAAGCTAGGGTTTTTTTTTTCCAAAGGTGCTCGGTGAAAGAGTGAGGAGTGGTAGACAAAAGCTGCAGGAAATTTCAAGCAGATGAAAGGAAAAAACTCTGCAAAGAGGGTGCTGAAACACTAGACAAGGTTGCCCAGGGGTGTTGTGGAATCCCCTTGCTTGGAGATACCCAGAAGTTAACTGAACAAGGCTCTGATATACCTTCAAATTTGTCCTTGCCTGTGGGGAGAAGGAGGGGCTAGACCAGAGATCTTCACCAGAGGGCTTCAGAGAACCATTCCAACCTACCTTGTCCCGTGATTCTAAAGAGAATAATCTATTTCTTATCTGTCTAAAACAGCCAGGGTAGTTTGAGGTAATGTGGTAACAAAGAGTAATGATATTAAAGAACCTCTACCAGGAATAAGAAATACCTACTTTAAGATAACAAAAGTAACTGTCTCTGAGAGTTAATTTGAGAGTTTTCTCTTAACTGCTGTGTTAGGGCGTTTTCAAAACTGGGGCCCAGTTTAGGAAGCTCATCATATGTAACAATCTTACTGTAGTTTTTTGTTTGCTGGAAAATTCTTAAATATTTTCAAAGTCCTTTATTTTGCAATATCAAACTTTTCTTAATTAGATTTTATTTTGATTAACAGATAGTATTTGGTTACTTGTTAAATCTGAATGCTCTGCCTTGTCTTCCCTGTTCTTCTGATCCCTCTTATGCTTCCTAATTAGTTTTTAGACTGCTAGGGAGCAATTTCTGTTTATTCTGTGGTTGTAGAGTGATGAGCACAATAGAGTTCTGATTCAAAGTGCTGCTGAAGATAAAGGAAATCTTGAGATAGATTAGTAGCAGATTTGGAAGAATGGTGAAAGGAAGGAGCCACGTGTAGTGCGGTGGCTACTTGCCACTACTACTTACATATATATGGCTACTCGCATGAATATGTGGTTTTTTTTTAATATGTATGTGTAAAAATACATGCATGTTATGACAGCAACATTTCAAGTGATGAGTTCTTTTAAATAAGTTAATTCAGTGACCAACATGGGATGGGGTGTTTATGTGGGTTTTTTTGAACTTTTAAAGAATTATTTATATGAAAACAAGTGGCTTTCTTGGTAAACCAAAACTGGACATATGCCTAACAGCCTGTAAGAAGGTGGGGTTATATTTACTGTTTTTTACTTATCTTCATTTGTTCCTGTGTAAAACTGTATACGTATTCTTCATTTGCAGAACATAGAAACAAGACTAAAGATTTGTTTGCCTGAAGACTTGGGATCTGCTCTGATGGATGGTGTAGTTCTTTGCCATTTAGTAAATCACGTTCGTCCTCGTTCTGTAGGAAGTATTCATGTACCATCACCAGCAGTAGTAAGTTGAATGTTTTGGGGAGTTGATTTTAAAAAAATTAGAGTTTTGTTGCCAAATTATATTTGGTTATATAGAACAGGTTGCTGTTCAGTGAATGTTCTTGGTTGGTAGGGATGACTCTTAATTAGTACATATTCAAATGTTCATAGCAAAAGTAAAAAATAAATCTAGAACTGAAGAAAATTGTGCTGCCTCTCTGCTACTGCAGCAGATTATTTTCATAATGGCCTTTTCGTTTGACACAGTATGAAATTCTGTGGTTACAAGATTTTATTCTAGGAGACCTTTTAAAAAAAATTAGTCCCTTGTTTGTTGATTAAAAGATACAAGATTAACAGTGTATGGCTTTGCAATCCCACTTATTAGGATATTCTTCTTCTCTTATATGTAGAAATGATTCCTTTTTACTGCAGACAGAATAGAAGGGAAATATGTGCCATAGTGATGTAATATCGGCTCATCACACCTAAGGACCATAAGGATTTCTTGAAACTTAATTTTCTGTGTATTTTCTCTATGTTTATAGATGTTTTTTTCGTTTTTGCCTAATCAGGACTTTGTTCCAGATTTCTAATGTCAGTTTGGTTCTAAGAGGTTTGGTTTCAAAGAGGTCTGCTGTTTTTGATTTTTTTCTTTTTTTTTTTAATGTACATATTGGCAAATATCTGTCAGCTACAACATGAAGTTCAGTTGCGAGACCAGCGTGTGGATTTCAGAGATAATCTGTGAGAGCTTCCAAGAAGAAAGAGGTTAAGAAAAAGACATTTCAGGAGATGATTTAGAGGAGGATTTTTGTTGTTGCTTGGTTTTAAATGACTTCTGTTCTATCTTTGGTAAAAATATGACATTGCCAAAATATGCGAACTTGAATTTCTGGGGGAAAAACTTAGGTTTTGTTGCTGAATTTAAGACAAAAAAAATCTTGTGGCATTATCTTCTATAACAAACACCAAACATTGTTAAATCCATTTTCATTTTGTTTCGCCTTTATATTGCTGATGTTCCTGTACTTGAAACGATCTTCAAATGACCTTAGTCTGGGAAATTAGTTCTTTAAAGTCCATGCACTATTATGAGTTCTTAGTTTAAATGGGTATTCAAGAATCACCATTATTCCACACCTTGCATTGAACAAGTAAAATAGCGAGTCTGTTTTTAGTCACTTGGTACTTCTGCGAGAATTTGGTAGGTAGTCCAGAGTGAGACATGTTACAGAAGTCTTTGAAACTTTAGAGTAGCAGAAACTTTCTTCTGCAGAGACAATAGAATTGTTTAAAGTTGTTATATATTTTTGAATATATTATATATCATAGCATTTTTATACACATAATTCTGTTAAATATAAGAGCTGTATTACAGTTAAATCTGTTTTCCTTGATGTATGGTGAAATCCTTCATGGTTTCCCTGCTATTCAGAAAAGAAATCTATGATAACAAGGATCTCTTGTATGCATGTAATGCTGTATTTTAAAGTACACTAACTGTAAAATTCCTAAATAAAAAAGATATTCCAGCTATGTCAGTCTTCTATCACAAATCATTGTAAGAGGTAAGTTGTAGAACCTCACAAGCAAGTGCACAGGTAAAGATCCAAATGTGCCAATGTTTTTAATTAATATGTAAAAGCAACGGGCATCCAAAATGTAAATATTCAGGTCTTATTCATGTGCATTCTGTTTTTAGAGTGGTAGAAGGAAAAGGCCAGTTGGATTTTATGTGTAGTTTCAGTGGTCCACTGAGAATGGTGTATCAAAAATTACAGATAATCATCCAGCCGCTCACCTACAACTTTGGGGCAGTAGATAAAGCAACAAATTCTAAGGAGAAGGGAA